AGTGCAGAAGGAGTTTGGAGTCTTTCACTGTGTTGGTATTAACTGTGTTTTTGCTTCAGTTTGTTAGGAAACACATCGTTTTATATGCAGCACCTCTAGGACACACAGAGCTGATGAATCCAGCAGAGAAACTCCGTCACTGCTGATATGATGTTAATAACGTTAACCTGGTGCCCACTAACAAAGCTGCAGGTCGCGGCCTGTGTCAGGGAATGTGGTTGGAAGCTCCTGTTTCAAGGTCAAGAGTGACTATTTATCAACCAACAACCTCACAAAGTGATTTCTGGTGCTGTTTCTTTCTTTTCTGTTGTCGCTTTCATTTGATGTTCACGTTATTGGTGTAGATGTTTTGAGGCCGGAGCAGGTTCCACCATTAGCAGCGCTCCACATGGCCGCGCTTGTGTCCATAGAGTGTCTCTGTGTGCAGCCGTGTGCTGTAAAAAGCCTGCTGGCCTTATCAAAATATGTTGAACTGTGGCAGGAAGCGCCCTCTAAACTCCCAGTCTGGTACTGGTGTTGTTGCCGCCTGGCTGTGTTGTCTTAACACAGAGCTGTCTGCAGACAGTGCCACTGCCAGCGTTCCCATACACCCAGGAGCAGCAGCAGCAGCAGCAGCCACAGTTCAGTTCTTCACACACTGACTGACTGCTGCCACTGCCCTTCATAGTGCAAACCTTTTTATAATATATAAACCAATGTGTGATGCCCAGAGAAATCCTGTTCAGACTGGACATTGTAATACAACAACCAGGATCCCTTTGTTTGTCTCAGTGGTGGATGAAGGACAAAGCAAACCTTCTGGAGACCTGAAAAGCATCAACATGGATGTACAGAGTACGGCTGACGAGTTTGTTCTCAAGCTTCAGTCTGCTTCATTGTCAAGGAGCTGGAAATGTTCTGGTTTTGTTTGTAAGGTGAGCTTGATGTTGGTCAGAAGTGCTGTTGGACCCTGTGTGGAGGTTCCAGACAGCAATCAAGTACAATTAAAACAAGTTCTACATTGAATTAAAGGTAGAGTATGTGGGTCTAATCTGATGTAGGTTTTGTCAAACTAAGGCCCCGTTTACACAAAGACAGAGATACCTTCATGGGCCTTTGGTTCACACGTAAACGAAGCTACGAGTCACCAAAAACCATCACATCTGAAAACTCCGTCTGTACGTTAGCATGTAGACAGGAGGAGGCAGAGTCTGACGTCACTGTGTGCGACTAAAGCGTCATCAGCGTCACATGTGTACAACCATGTTTACAGTTTGGCTGCTGTGATAGATGGATGCTGTTAAAGCGGCGCTGGTTTTTACGTTTATGCAACGCTTTTGGCCTGTTTGCATTTACATCCAGAAATGCTCTATTATGTGGAGGAGCTTCTCCCTCAGTCCAAACAAACGATCCTCGCACCATTATCGTTGAAGTAACAGGAAGTAATCCGTGCCATTTATTGTTGTGTTTTTTCCGGGGTTCTGATTGGCTAGCATGGCTTTATGCTTCTCGTTACACTGCCCCATGTAGGTCTGGCAGCTCATAACAACGTGTTGATGAGGGTTTGTGTAAACCAAGATCCGTCTTTGTGAATCCTGGCCTTGTAAATGGGAAACAAACCAACTCCAGCCCATCGACACCGTGCCATGTGCACGTTTGTGTTTGTGCATAAGACGGGGAGAGACGAAGGGAAAAGTGGATGGAAGTAAGAGGGACCATACATCCGACACATACAGTCTAAATATTCTACCAAACATCAGCTATCCTTCTCTAAGAGGTGCAGACTGCACCTTTACTGCTTATAAAAGCTCACACTGATATGAAGGCAGATCTATAACAGCCTCTAAAGACAGTTCATCTCTTAACATTTATCATATTTATTTTGTTCCTAAAAAGACTGAAAGCTTGAGAGCATTTTGTTCATTGGTCTTTGATGGGACAACAATTTGCAGCACATGATGATTCTACAGATATGAGTCCTGCTGACAACAGAAAAGGTACGAAACACACTCTTACTGCAAAGTAAGAAGCTACGGCTGCTGTTAGCTTAAAATGATTCACACTGCTGCCCTCATCAGACTTTGGTCAAAAGAAGAATGTGACAATGCCATAAAAACACAATGCAAATATAATACAGCAGACTTCATTAACAGGAGCAGCTGGTTGTGTTATATCTGTGTTGGTTTGTGGACCACCTGTGGCTGATCTGTGTCCCTTCGTGGTTCCCTCTCCTCCAAGGAGCTCTTCAGTTTCCTTCATCTCATTGTTCTGGCTGACAGCCCTCAACTCTGCAGCTCCATTTTAGTCCAGTGGTGCGCTGGCCGTCCAGCATACCGGGACAGATGCCAGTCAGCGCCGCATCACTGGGCCGGTGGACCATCAGAACCTCTCTAGAGGTTTTCCGGGCCCTGTCTGTCCCTTTGCTGGCCATGTCTGTGTGCCCTGAGAGCTGCTGCTATACAAATGAATGACTTGGTTTGAAATAATTGTGGAGGTTGGTCCTGATTGTAAACGTATTGTATGAGTCAAACTTTGACTTTAAATGACCTGCCATGTTTCACTGTGGTACCGTTTGTCCTGTGAACTGGAATCTCTTTGATTTGGGATCTTTTTCTTCCCAAAGATTTCTTGTTTATTCCACTCCTTTCTTCTGCTCTTTGCCTTCATCCTGCTTGAGAATTATGGGGGCAGTGTTGGCCATCAGAAATAACAGTCTGGACAGGATTTGGTCAGAAATAAAGAGCGAGCTCAAATTCATGAGTGGGGCCAAAACTCAAAGGACGACGAGATGGAAGAGCAACACAGCAGCATGCAGGACAAAACCAAGCTCGGCAGGTCTCATCACATCTAGAGATGATGTTGGTGTGTGAGACACACACTCTGGATACTCTGGGACACATCATCAGGGATGGGCTAGGGTTTCAGGTCTCACAACATCAGACACCATCATCCAAGCTCTCTTCTCCATTCCCCTCTGACTGTGTTAAAGTTTTTTGTGGACATGTATGTAAAGAAAATTACAAAAACAACACATCCCTACTGTTTACTGTGACTTTCCAGTGCTTTGTCTTAACCCAGGTATGCCAGGATCTTAACAGGAAGATTCTGATGATTCATAGCAGCTCTAAGGTCTCGGTTAAACTGTCATGAACTTCAGCCTTCTAACCCGTCACCTGACAGGAACAGACACCGACTGATAAGCATGTAGAGGTTTAGTCTGTACGAGGCCGGCTCACAGTGAAGTTAATTGTAAAGTGGAGCAAATTGACATGTTATTCAAGGTGAGGTTCTGTGAAAGAATTTCTTCCTGCAATGTTCCAGGTAATATTTGCTGATTGATTGGTAACTGTTGGAGCAGCGACTGCCCTCAGACATCGCAGTGATTTATGTGAGGCGTTGGGAGGGGGGCCTTATCCCAGCCTGTCTGCATGAATTATGGCAGCAGTTAATAGGAGTTTCTCATACCGATGTATTCCAGCGACGGTTTCTTACAGCCTCAACATTCTCAGGTTGCCACTCAGAACACGACTCCATAAAGATTAAGTTTAAAACATCTCAAATGGAACTTCTTCTCCTGCCCACCATGAATCAACCGTATCTCAGTGTAAACCCCGGACACTGGCCTACTTCTACCTTCATGTCCTCTGCTCATCACCCTGTAAGTCATTTTTAGTGTTTCGCATTAGACTGAGTGGCTCATGAGCATAATATTTTCTCCCCGATGGAAAAAAACAACCTGTCCATTAATCACAGCGTTTATGTCGTCGGGCTGAACTGTTTGTAGGAAAATGTCTCATTGAAATTTTTTGTCAGATATCAACATTTGATTCACAAAATAATTTTTCAAACAGAAGCTTTGTGCAACATTCATGTCAAAATAAAACTACAGACTATAAAAACTTCAAGAGTAATTAAATCAATATATATCTAAATAAATGACTAATTACAGACATGCAAACACACAGCCATACATCCATCCCTTAATGCACTTAGCAGCATGTATTATGTTTTAAATGCACTGAGTGTGGTTGCTGCTGTCGGGTAGAAGCTGTTTCTGAAGTGAGCACAGACTGACTGGCCTGACTGGACGTGGACTGATCATGTAAACCGTCTGTCACCTTGTGTTCTGAGCTCTTAGTGTGCAGCAGTGACGTATAATGCTGAGTGGTTACTCAGTAGTCCCTCATGATTTGATGATTGCCTGCTGTGGCTGTTTGCCCTCAAGTAAAAGCATCTTCATGATTCTTCATTGAAAAGTTCTTCATTATCTTCACAGCTATTAGATTTAAAACTGTTGTTTCATTTTATTAACATATTAGAGGAAAAGATTCCTGCAGAGCTGACTTTGGATTTATTCTTCTAGAGCTCCATAAATCAGAAAATACTGTCAGCAGCCAGAAGAAAAAAATCACCTGTTTAGGAAAAACATGTTCTGTAAATCCGGCTGCAAATGATATGAACAAAGCTCTTCTGAATTCCTCAGAATATAGAAAGAGATAAAACTGGACATTTAGGTGTTTGGAAGGTCTACCGAAGTGAAGAAAAAAAATAAGACATTTTTTAAATTCCAAACCTGTTTTAATGGAACTCAATTTTACCTGAACAGGTATCACCATGATAGTGTGTTACTCACATCTGTATATTGTGCAATGTGCCAAGTAAATCACAAGTTTATGTGTTGGCTGATAATAATTATATGGCTATAATAATCTACCTCAGTCTACAGGAGCCTGATGACCAGAACATGGCCACCGGTGCATGATATGGGTCATCTGCTAAACAGCAGAACCGTTTGCAGAACCACAAGCCACCATATTTTGAATACATAATTTAGAATATTTGAATATAATACTAATGACATAATTAGGTCATTACGTGAAATAAAAAAGACAATTAATAATGATGAGGGTGAACTGTTTCCTGTTGTACTCACGTTTTATTGCAGAGGCACCAACCGGAAGCTGTCGGTGCGCTGTGTGCTAGCTTGACACCGGTGAGCGCTTTTATTCGCTGTGAGGGTGATGCGCCTCAGGTTGGACTCTGCCGATGTTCTCACACAGAAGGCAGCTGTAGTGGAAGTCAGCACAACAGCTGCTCAGCTCACCGCCGGACGATCCTGGAGCTCCTGTTCTACCAACACAGGTATGTGGACACGGGCTCCGACCCATTTAGAACCATGTGCACGTCCAGGCTGCTTCATCTGTGGAGTCTAATGCAGTCCAGTAGGACAGCTGTCTGCTGCTGCTTCTACATTTATCTAAAAGGATGATGAACTGCTCTGCTCACATGTACAAGTGTTCCTAATAATGAGACACGTTGTTCAGCCCGTTCACAGACAGCAGGAGGACACTTCAGTTAACTCAGTAACATAAAGCAGGATCAGCAGCTGTTCTGTTGGACTGCCAAAGACTTCACAGGTGGACCTGATAAAACGTCCAGTGTTATTATAATGGTTATTATTAGTAGTATTGGCATTATTAGTATTAGTAGTAGTAGTAGTAGTAGTAGTATTGTTATTAAAAGCAGATCATACTTGTAGTTTCAGTCATAGTTTTCATGCATGTAGTGCATTTGTATTTATAGCACAACTACTGGTATAATTCTGCAGTAAACACAAGTACTGCTACCACAATGGAATTAGTTTTGGTATAGATATAGTGGCAGTAGCAGTAGCGATAGTATTGCTTGGAGCAGCATGAACAATCTTCTTTAGTTGTCTATGTAGTTTTTTTCCCCCTCAGTATCATGATATGCCATTAATATGAAACCAGCTGAGATGTGAATCAGTTCACCAGATAACTTTTCCAGGTTTTGGTTCATAAACCTGTAAATTGGTGGATTAGTACACACAATATATTTAGCTTTCTAAAAACTCTTATGGCACATAGATATTATTGTCTTCCAGTATTTAATATATTATTATAGTGCTCAAGTTTAACTTATCTTGTCCAGTCCTCGTATGCCATCAGCAGTAGAGCAGGTCTATGAAGCAGCTCTGCAGGGCAGTAATGTTAGCAATGCTTGTAGCAGTACTGCCTGTGTTTAGTTACAGCTGTAGTAGTAAATACTGTGAAAGCAGAAGCAGCCACCGAGGTGGTAGTGATACCATCCAACAGCAGCCGAGATTCTCCTCAGCTGTCAGGGGGAGCAGAGGGCCGTACAGTAAGTTCAGTTTCAGTTCAGTTTTATTTGTATAGCGCAGTGTTCAACATAAATGTTAACATGGTGCAGTGAAGGCCTCAGGAATTTAATATTATATTACCAACAGTGCTGGAGTCCAGCATCTGTGAGCAGTTGTTGCAGTTATGTCTCCCTCTTGTGTCAAAGAGAAGCTACTGCAGCTTTTTGACTAGTCTGAGTTTAGAATCGACCACGAATGCTGCTAATGTTCATCTTCTCCACATGTCTCCAGGCTGAGCCGCTGCACTCAACAACGATGGACTTTGTGAAGATGTTGATGTTGATTTTGGCGCTGTCCGGCCCAACCAGATGCCAGAACAGGAGGAGGAAGGGTCAGAGAGATGAGAACCAGGTTATCATCAACGAGACCAAAAGTAAGTGTTGTTACAGCAGCTTATCCAGAGGTTAGATAAGAAATAAAGATGTGTGTTGTGTGTGCAGGAGTGTTTAGATTCCGCAGTAACACCAGGACTGACTACAGAGGTGATGCTGAACTCACACAGCTTGTCATATGTCATAATTATAAAGCTGAGCCTGAATAAACATTGGTGCTATGACAAGCTCTGTAAAGACAGATCAGATTAGTAGCTGCCCTGCTGTCAGCTGAGTGTCTGATGTCCTTTAAACCTATTGTTTGTAGGTTTAAAGCAGCTAAACGATGTAAATAAACCCATTTTCTATGAATCCTTTAGGGACCATGATCACCCAGCATAGCACTGTTTAAAACCGGAGTCCTTCTGATGCTGGATGTATCGGTCCAACACAAGTGGTAGAAGAAGTCCTGAGATCGTTTAAGTGTTGTATTCAGCCCTGTGTGCTCCATCCGGTTTGTTTGTTCACTTCGTTTCTGAGCTTTGGTCATGTTTCCATAACAGCTGCACCGGCAGTGTTACTGGGTCAGGCCCGGTAACGGTTCTGTATCACCTTCAACACAATAAAACTCAAAGTCAAATTTAGAATAAACTTCAACACATGACGTCACTGAAACGCCTTTGTTTATTGATATTTTACACGTTCTATCATCTGGTAATCCACCACAGCGCCTTTCGGTCGACCCCTAGAGCTAACTGCTTTCTGACTGCAGGTCTTCTGACTGAGTTCATTCTTCATGTGAAACTGCTCCCACTGGAGCTGGAAACCCGTCTGTTCATTAGACAGTAAGTCTGCGTCTTTGTCTCCTGCTCAGCCCTGATCTGCCCAGTGGAGATCATGTTCATCGTGGACAGCTCAGAAAAAGCCAAATCTCTGCTGTTTGAGCGACAGAAGGACTTCGTTCTGCGCTTCAGCACCAAGCTCATGCAGCTGCACTCCGCCGGCTGGCGCCTGCGCCTGCGCCTGGCCGCCCTGCAGTACAGCAGCACCGTGTCTGTGGAGCACAACTTCAGAGACTGGCAGGACCTGGACGTCTTCCAGAGCCGGGTGGCCTCCATGACCTTCATCGGCCACGGCACCTACTCCGCCTACGCCATCACCAACGCCACCAAGGTGTTCAGCCGAGAGACGTCCTCCAGCAGCCTGAGGGTGGCGCTGTTGATGACGGACGGGATGGACCACCCGCGCAGCCCCAGCGCCGTGACAGCCGCCGCTGAAGCCAAGCAGCACAACATCAGGGTGTTCACCATTAGGCTGTCCGGACCGCCCAGGGAAGGCTCCATGGGAACGAAGCTGAGATCGATCGCCAGCGCCCCCCCACAGCAGCACGTCCTCAGCCTCACCGACAGCCAGCTGGACGACAGACTCTTCAATGAACTGGTCAGTGATGTTTCACCAGCACTGTAGTCCACTAACACTGGTCTGAAACTACGATGGTGATGTCTGTGAAGATCCTCAGTCATCCAGCTCATGGTTCTTCTCGTGGATTAATCGTAGCAACTGGACCTGCTTGAGTTCCTTGAAGATGTTCCACCTCTCATCCAAGAGGCTTCATCAGCTCTGACTGACTAGTTGGGAATTCCAGATACTGATATCCTGAAGGAGCCATTAACACCTGAGTTTGAGCTTCAATTAAGGGTTTGTTGGGACCTGAGGTCTTCCCAACTAGTCAGTCAGAGCTGATGAAGCCTCTTGGATGAGAGGTGGAACGTCTTCAAGGAACTCAAGCAGTCCAGTTGCTATGATTAACCTACGAGAATACAAAAGAGAATACGGTCGTACAACAGCCGGATCACTCAGAATTAAAAGAAAACAGGGACATAATGGGAGATCTGTACATGTTCTAACTAGATAAGATTCACTGAGACCAACTAGCAGTACAACAGAACACAGACGCAGGGTTCTGATGTATACAATGGACGTTTAAAATCATCAGTAATACAGTGATAACACCGGTGAGCTGTGGAAAAAGCCAGTGATTGGCCTGTTGGCAAAGAATGTCAGGGTTTTAATGCTCAACGCTGAAGATGACCTGTGAAATAACATGTTCTGTCTGTTGCTTTTGTTCTTTCAGAGTATGGTTGTTAAAGCTGGGGTAAGTAATATGAAGCTCTTACACTCATGATTATTGACTCAGATGCATTTATGGTATTTTGATGTATAATTAACAGTTTTGTAAATCCGTTTTAATTCATGTACATGTTGTCTTTAATCATGTTTTTATAAATACATGGAAACACACTAACAAATTGTGTCAGTATGTCGGCGTGTACTTCAACACGCTCTCAGCCTCACCTGGAAACAGTGAGCATCACTCCCATCTGGGGGCATACCTGTCCACTATGAAGCTGTGTGTCAGTGTCCACAAAAACTCGATTGTTTGTCTTCATTTCTTTTGCAAGGAGAGCAAAGCTTTGAGCTGACATGCTGTCCACAGTGTCCACACAGCACAGGTGACTGAGCTGCATGAGGCCACATGTGGCTGCTTCTGCCACCTGTGCTGTGAGGACAGGCTTCAAACATCGGAGAGTTTGTCGATCATTATATACTATATAGTACACAACTATGCCCCATAATGGGAGTTACAGCCTTTGTTTTAGGCCGAGAACGTTTTGAGGTACCCTTGTTTAGAATTTATCATGTGTTTTGCTCTTTTCCTGTGTCTATGACAGTGCCCACAACCAAAGACGTGTCTGTGTGAGAGAGGAGAGAGGGGTCATCCAGGAGGCCCGGTGAGTCCGACCCAGCAATCACCATACCAGACATCTGGTCGTGTGCACCGATACTACTGAAACTCCACCATGCTCAGAACCAAATTCTAATGAATACTTTTATGCATAAACTGCTGCATGTACAGTCCAGTGTGCTGATGCATGAACAGCACTTAGACAGACTGAGCCGTGACCACGAGCAGCACACAGCTCAGGCCCAGTTAGTGCGACTGGATGGAGGCTGTGGCGTTCTCCCACTTTGACCCTTACTACAGTGAAAATGAAACTTTTACCAAGGATTTAGATGGTTCAGTAGGCAGCTCTGCTACTTTTATTTTTTGGTAGATTATCCATTTTATTCACAATGCTCGTCTCCTCACGTGCAAATATTCCACCTGTCACTGTTTTGGGAGAACGCCAGAGCCGCTGACTTCGCTTTGCCCGATGATGACTGACTGAAGAAATACCAACAAGCCAGAGGTTATTGTTTCCCTCTGTGGCAGAGTGTTGTGCAGTCAGACTGTTATGTTAAACTAAATAAGACGAAGGCCACATGCTTCATCAGTAGCATTAAGAAAATAGTTTATTGGCCTGTTCAATACCTCAGCAGACTTACATGCCTCAGACTCAAATACAAAGTTCTGTTGCAGTTCAGTTGCCTCCTCCCGAGCTCACACCAGTCTATCATATCTCTTAGTAATGGAACCCCTTTTCCCTCCCTCACGCTCTCCTTGACCTCGGTGCAGGTCTCTGAAGGCATGCTAGTCTGTGGCCACTTGGGCATGTTGTCACCACCAGCAGTCGGGGAATAGTTGGCGACTGGCAACACCTGTTGGAAGTTGGGTTCACATTGTTTTAAGTCCTAACCTTTCTGAGGGAGCGAGGTGTACCAATGTTTCTCTGGATCAGTCTGATGTGCAGTTGTTGGCCTCACAACCTCCCAAATACTGATTATTCTGTTTGTATTGCTGCTCCACCATCCCCATCCTCTCACTCCAACCAGTCAAGGCAGCTGATCATTCGGCTTGGTCCAATTCATCTTCATTAAGTTTGACTTGACTTGACCAAACCACCCAAAGACAAGGGTCCACTAACTATTGTTTTCTGGAGCTTTAAACCATCTGTCAGTTGGTTGCTTTGTGAAATTATCTTGTCATAGTTTAAGTGATGTCCCTGTGTCATCTCCTAGCACTGTTGGATGTCTTGACTGAATTTATTTGACGATCTTGCCAATAGTAACTGTGCATTAATAGAGAGACCACCAGACCCCTGTCATCAGCGGTGAACCATGCCACTAGCTAACCAGCTGCTCCATTCACCCAGAGCCAGACTATCCTGTCAGCGTCGTGGTGCTGTTTGGCCTGACATCATGCGCTCTAGTATCAGCTGGCACATGGTGTCTCTGATAACAGTAGTCTGTACCATCTTCATGCCCAGCTGTGGTTGTGTCTGCTGCCTTCTGGTTGACAGTGGCTTCCTCAGTCAGCCTCATACGGTGGCCTGGCGTTCTCTCAGCCTCAGCACCCCACCAGCAGGTGCATCTGGCCTGTTTCCAAAGCACAACACAGAAGAGATATGAAAGAGCAGGAAATGTTTCCCACAATGCAAGTGTAGCAGGTGGTGAGAGGCCTGTTTTCACTGGCAGAAGTCCTGAACAGAGGCCCTTGGAAAGAAGCAAAGGTCAAGGATGGAGGATTAGACATGAGCAAACACACCGGCTGTGATGATCTGAGAACCTGCTGCACTGAGGTCCAGGTTTATGTAGGACAGGGGTTACAGACAGGTCACGCTGAGAATGTTCTACCTCAATTCTGCTTATACATACACCAGTCCAAACTTAGCAAAGGGGGGCAAATATTCTCATTCTGCACAATCTATCCCTTTACTTTCATGTAGGGGAAGCCAGGCGAGCCAGGGGCTGACGGAGCTCCAGGTCCAAAGGGGTCTCGTGTAAGTCCCTATTGTGTCCGTAATCCAGTGCTGTTACCAGAAAGATTCCATGAAGTGTTGTATGATGTGCTGTTTTGTCTGGGCTCGGTCACTGCAGGGGGAACCTGGCATCAATGGACGTCCAGGAATGGAGGGCCTTGAGGTAATCAAGTAATCACATAGTTTCACCAGAGTTGCTGTTTTGATCGGACCACTGATGTGTTCTGTTCTGAGAAGTATGAACTAGACGGAACTTCTCATTATGGTGTTCTACAGTATTTTTAAAGTCTACTCTGTTGGATTTATTATACTCTCTTCAGGATTCAGGTGATGTCTGTTTTACATGTAAATGTGCTCCAAAGTTCAAAAATAGAACCCTCCAAAGATTAGCGATTAGCACAGTCTTCTGCTTAAAGACTAACTGATGTAAACAGGACAGTTTGTGGGGAGATACAGATAGACAAAGATATCATACAGGTTGGGACATCAAACAAAATTTATTGACTTTAGCCATCATTTCCAAAAGTTTCTTCCACGTCTATCGATCGCTACAACAGCCAGTAGGTTGTAATGGAAGTTTATTCCACCAGTCATCATCAAGTATGAGCAGTTAGCCTCGCTTATTAGCCTAGCTTAGCATATTGACTGAAGCGGGCATACAGCTAGGTTGCCTTACTCCACAGAAATATACTCATCAAGCTCAGTAATGATCACATTTCAATTATCCTGTTTAAATTGTAATTAAATGTAAAAAGGACCATTTGTGAAGCGTATCCGTCCAGAGCTTCTGTGTAGCATCTCAGGGCTAACCACAGTTACCAGGTACAGCTGGTGAGCACATGTTTGGTGCTACTGACAACCTCACAGGGATGACGAGGTGTGTACGATCACAGCAGCCCAAGAAACCATCCTCAAGCTTCAGACAGAGGCCAGAGGCCGAGACACCAGACTGCTGCTGGGCTTCTCCTCTCCTTCTGTATCTAGATTTTTGGGGAAATATTTACTTCATTGAAATTTTAAGTTAAGAAAGTCCATCTGTGTGAAACTGGAACAGTCATCTTTAAACAAGAGAGGGATCCAAAGCACCAGTTATCAGGTACTTATGATGTAAAGATTTGTGACCCAGACAGTTTCACCCCAACAACACCTGGAGTCATTCCTCACCAGGCAGGTTCACAGCAGTCTAACCTTTAGTCATTAGTGATCTGGGGGTAAAAACAGATACCTGGAACTTCCCACCAGTCAGTTACAACTGAGGAAGTGTCTCTTGAACGAGAGACGTGAAATGTCTTAAAGGACCAAGAAAGAAGTCAACTCTAGTATTTAGGAGGAGATATAGCAAATATAACCGTCTACAGAAATAATATTTATTGATCCGTTTTTAAGTACAATAAACAATAAATACATGCTTATAGTCCTTGTTTTATATTGGTGCAGCTGTCTAATGGAAATTATGAAATGTACCTTTTTTATAGGGACTACCTGGTAGCAAAGGGGAAAAGGTATGTACTCTGAGTTACTTCTTTGCTGACGGTCTGTCTTTGCATGAATCACCACCACAGCAGAACCCATGTCAGGAAATATCTTAAGATAAAGAAGTCATTTAACATGTGGATCTCTTGACAACCATTTCCATGCATCTCACATGGACCTGTGCAATGTCACCTAAATATCAGCAGGTTTCAGATGGTAATCGTTAACGTCTGCGTTGAACAGCAGGTATTCTGTCACATATTGAATTAAAACAGTTTAGATTTAATATATTAACGGTGCAAGCACCACAGTAGGAACAGAAGCCAGTATACCTTTAAATACTGAGACTTAAATGTTTAATTTTTCAGTAAATCTCATGTCTACCTTCATTTTTGATGACATTCTTCTCAGCAGTGTTGCCCACATTTCTGGAGAGATGTTTTGCCTGTTTTTCAGCTGCTCTTTGCTGGAGGGGTTGTGTTGCTTCCAAAAGAAATGTTTGAAATAAGGTTGTGCTGGATTCAAGTCAGGTGACATATCTGGCCAGGTTATAGCTTTCACTTTTCTCTTGTGGATTGTTATCGAGCTGGAATATTGCTCTTCTGTCAGTGTAACGTCCTCCACGCTGCCTGAGCTTCACACAAACTCTGATTTCTTTTGATGGCTCCAAGTCTGAAGCAGCTGCCAATCCGTGTTTCAGAAACAGAAACTGTCCCTGGTGTTGTTCTATGTGGTCACTGTTGCTCCAAATAGAGGTACCATGGCTGGTTCTGTACATTCTGATCGCTGATGCAGCTGTCTTTCCACTGATTTTAAGTCAGTTTTTACAAACACAGGTGTGCTCAGCTTTGCTTTGCTAATCACAGGTTTTTTAACGTGTCTGTGTTTTCAGTATCACTCTTTACTCTTTTCACTGATCGTACATCCTTGACTCCTCCTCGCATATTTGTCCCTCACAGAAGAAGTGGAGAAGATGAGGCAGCAGGTGTTTAACAACATCCTGACCTCGGAGTGTCCTTTTAAAGCAGCGTCAGTTAAACATGCCACAGCTGCATCACCTGTCCTTAGTTTTATTCTAGCCAACCAGTCACTATGTTTTATCATCAGACTATTGACATTTGCAAACAAAGAGTGACGTATATTATGAATGATGGATCTTATATCATATATAGACAGTTATCAGTCCTGTCTCCAGCATGGTTAATATTCCAGCTGCTCACAGCTCCTCCAGCAAACCAACAAACATCCTCTGTGTTGATGTACCAACACTGGTTTCAGAGGACTGAGGAGTCGAGGAGGCTGGAATTAGTGGAATGAGATGAGCCGGTAGTCTTTCTAAAGTATTCATTTCTGATTGTTCATCGCTCTGCTGTTCAGCTGAGAACTAATGCAGTTTATACATCACTTCACATTCAGGTGACATCGCACAGGTCTGTAACTGTTTCTGCTCTGTTCTGTACATATGCACTCATTTTGCCTGTTGTCATAGATTCAGTAGAGCTTCAGTATCAGACTTGGTCCAGTGACCAGATTAGAAAGATGTTTGCTCTGAGCTGTACTCACCTGTATCATCACTGGTTGTGTTTCCAGGGGGAACAGGGTGAATGTGGCGCCGCTGGTAAAAAGGGAGAACAGGTATGTTGGTTTCTTTCCTATTTTTGCTTCTTTTTAAATGTAATTGTCATGAAGGCTGTGGTGAGGTGCTGTTTATAAAAGTCGTGATGCTGTGTTGTTTATCTGTAGGGTGCTGTTGGACCTGCTGGCCCCAGAGGACCCAGAGGAGAGCAGGTGAACTTTAACCCTTTCGTCCCATTAACTCGTGCTATATATACATTCACCAAGCACTTTATTCTGACCTCTAATGCAGTTCAGAGCAACAGATCTTATATTCACAAGGCAAGTCTTTCTGCTGACCATTGCTTCCCTCACATTGACCTTTTTCACAGCAGACGTAGTGGCTCGCGTTGCAGGAAAAACACAGGTGGGATCTCAAACAATGTTAATGGTTTAGCTTCATGAATGTCCCAATAAGCTGCTCCAGCCAGTCGGCTCACAACGTACCAGGTGGAGCCCAGCCGTCATTAGTTGTGTCAAACACACCTGTGCTGTTTCAGCTATGACGGGTCAGAATGTCTGCTGGGAAAAAGGAACACGATCTGATGCTTTGTGATCACTGCAGGTGACAGAAAAACAACAGCACAACATACCAACCCCCGTCTGTTTCACAAATATGGACCATAATGACCCACAATGAATAATTATCTCAAGTTCAAATAGAACTGACTCTAAGTAAAGCCCAGTAGGAGTTGTGTTGCCAAGCAGCTTTAGATACTGAAGCATTAGAACGGAAAGAAAACCTGAAGTCCAGAAACTACCTGAATGCTGCTCAGTCACAACTCAGAGCTCTGACTTAATATTGTTGCTATCAGTGCTGTCACCTCATACCGCTGTCACACTATGTATCGGTTAAACATTGAACCTCTTTAGCCCTATAGGCCTTATATTCAGTCAACAACAGCTCCACAACTGAGAGACCAAACTGATCAACCTGGACTCTATGGGAACATTTTTAAATGCAGTAATTCTCTTTGTCCTGATCACCAGGCCACAACTTCAGCAAAGTTTGACATGTTTTACTTCCTCTCAGTCAAAACTGTAAACTAGAACGTAGACGACTGCCCTGTAACAATAAATCAGTGGCACTGGTGGTATCCAACCTGTTCTAAAAACTCTCAAATGAAAGTCTACCAACAGAAATGGAACACCATAATGGTACATCCATCTGTTAAGGTTGTTTTTGGAACATGTTTTATTTTATAGTAGCAGTGGAGAAATATGGGAAAAGCCATCCATCCATTAATTATTTATCTTAATCCTCACGAGGGTATCACGGGGCGGACCCTATCCCAGCTGATATAGGAAACATGAGGAGGGAAAATAGGGACATACAGCATTGGTCCCCGGTTAGGAATACACCAGAGACTAGTAGCTTCAGATATCTGTGCCCATGTAGTCTACACCCACACAGCTTGGCTATCTGGCCATCCTAATACACACATTTTAGTTATAGCAGGACTTTGTGGCCTCCTCACTGAATGTGCCACCTCAAAAAATGGCAAGACACAGGAACATCAACAGTGGTCTAACAAATCAACAGGACTGGCTGAACAGTTTTCATATAATTCCTCTTTTCCTTTCCCTCATGTCTGTGTGTTAAACTCAGGATGTGGTTAGCTTAGCTCGGCGTACAGACTGGAAGGAGGAGGAACCTGGTTCTGTCCAAAGTTCAATAATAATGTAAACGGCCCGTTTGTTCCTTTTGTACAAAGACAGTAATATTAAAGCTAAACACTGGCTGTAAAGGGAGCAGTGCTGAAGGGTTTTAGTCCCACCAGCCAGCTGCAGTCAGCATGCACGGCATCCCAGGATCTTGTCGGTTGCCAGGTTTGATGCCTGTAATCATCTAGTAGGTAAACTAAACCACAGCTTGTTCATTAGTGAGCTTTAGTTGGTGTATTTCTGAACCATGGACAGGCTAGATGTTCCTCCCTGCTTCCAGCCGTTATGCTGATGTTGATCTGAGGTGGTAGATCAGAGTTCCAGTAGGAGTGTGTGGCCTTCAATCAGTCTTCAAAGTTGGCTCTAAACGCCTGATATTATAATTATGCTATACACCTATGAAACAGGCACATTTTGGGTGTGTGGTCAAATTGAAAGATTCCTGTGTCCCCCCACATCCGCGCTGAAACAATCAGTGCTGCAGTGAAAGCCACATACTCTGAGTCCATCTCCTGCTCTGCACTTGTGGAATGTGAGCTGTGGATTAGGTCTTATCCCCCTCCTAATGTAGCCTTTCTAAAGCAGGGAATCCAAGCTTGCAATGTTTGGTTGTAGTCTTTGAGCAGACGTTGTCCTAGAGGATTAGGATTTGGGCACATATTATCCATTCCCTCTCTCCTTAAATGCTTGTTACCCCCTTCAGCATTAGCAGAACAACAGCTGCCATCGTCAGAGTGCCATTAGGTTTCATGTCCTTCTGATCTGTCTCCTGTTCCCATAAAATCTACTTACACACACTGCCAAAGGTTTATTCATGTATCTGTCATAGCATGCATTCACCATCAAAGTATCAGTATCCATCCATCCATCCATCCGTTAGCTATACCCGCTCCATTCTGCAGAGGGTCGTGGAGGAGCCTATCCCAGCTGACACTGGGCGAGAGGCGGGGTATAGCGTGGACAGGTTCACGGCAGGCCTCGAGACATGCACGCTCTCACTCACACTCCCAGCTTAGAATCATCAGTTAGCCTCCCATGCATGTCTGTAGCCTGTGAGGAGCTGTTCCTGGTGGAAGGAAGCTGGGGTGAAAAGCTAATGGAGAGGAGCAGTAATGTTCAGACAGTCTCTCCAGGACGACACATAAACCACACTCATGCTGTCTGTCGCAGCAGAGGGTACGTTGTTGTGAGTAATGCAAAGCATGCTGATGCATTTCAAATCTCAAAGTAATTTTAAAAATCTGCTGCAACGGTGCGAGGTGGATCAGTGGTTAGCACCGTGGCCTCACAGCTAGAAGGTTGCCGGTTGGCGTCCCGGTGAGGACACCTAGGATCTTCCTGCGTGGAGTCTCCATGTTCTCCCCGTGCAGCGTGGGTTCTCTCCGGGTTCTCCGGCTTCCTCCCACAGTCCAGAAACATGCTGAGGTTAATTGGTGATTGTAAATTGTCCGTAGGTGTGAATGTGAGTGTGCTTGGTTGTCTGTCTCTAAGTGTAGCCCTGTGATAGACTGGTGACCTGTCCAGGTGAACCTGCCTTCACCCTGAGTCAGCTGGGATAGACTCCAGCCCCCCACCACCCTAGTGAGGATGAAGGTGTAGAGATGATGGATGGACTTGAATCATAAGGAGAAGAGAATTAGTGTATTGTATGGAGCACACACACGTCAGTCCTCTTGGGTTCCAGCAGGGGGCGACCACAGCCAGAGGGGCTTTCATCTTTGTGCTGTAACTCTAGCAGGTAAGCAAACAGGTTGACATAACAGAAAACTACACAGACTCTACACACCAGAATGTGTCTCCAGGTGTTGGAGAGCACCACTGTAATGGTGAAAATGTAGCTTCACCATTTGCAGAGGGTTAGATATGTGATTTCTGTTGATCAGTAAAAAAAAAACTACAAGTGTGAAAAATACAGACATGCAGGGGTGTGGAGTCAGAAGGTTGTGACCTTACCACAGCTCTGTAGCGTGCTGCTAATTCTGCTGCAGAGTAGAGGGTCCAGGCGACGTCACCTGCAACAGACACAACACACCAGAATCTCTGACCAAACTGTCGGTAGAGTTGCATTGTGGGTAATATCGGTGCCAGATTTTGACTTTCATTTCTTGGTCTGCTCCGTCAGTTTTCATCTGTGTTTTACAGTCCATCCTGACCATGTGATGCAAATCTAGTGAAGTGAGCTGCTGTAGCCGTGCTCACCTCCCAGTGCTCAGGGTTGACCTCTGCAGCAGCATCTCTACTGTTTTCTTCATAAGCTTTAGTGTCAGTGCTAAGCCCTGTGTTGATTCATTGACATGTTATCAGGAGTTTGTTCACAAAGTGCACTTGCTTTTGTGCTGCACATTTAATAGCACATGTGAGCTGTATGTTGGCCTCAACCTGAACATGACATCCATCCAGCAGGACCATGTTGAAGAAACTGTCACTGACCACCACAAAGACCAGGGTTCAGTCCTCCACTGCTGCTAGAAGCTGGTGAGGGATCTTCCTGGTCCTGCCTGGTGGAGAGTCCACAGATCAACAGAGGGAGCTGAAAATATGAAAATGACCTTTCCTAAAATAAAGAAACAACATAAGCCTTGCATTACCTGCCGTAGCTGGACTCTCCAGTGAAGGCAAAGATTTAAAATACATTCACTGACTTAATCTTTACATCCTAAACTCCAAACGATAGACTAGTTCTTAATTTTCAGTTCAGTGCTCTTCGTGTTATTTATGAAATGAAGTGTGCTTCTTTGTCCTTGACTGTTGTTTTTTTGTTTTCTTCTTGTTCCAGGGAGCCAGAGGGGCACCTGGAGACCAGGGCTCAGAGGGGGCATCTGGATCTAAAGTAAGAGCGCTGGAAGCCCCAGCCCTAACTCTGAGAAACTTCGATCCGCATGTTTGCAATACAAAGTGATGGGCAAATTTCTAAGTTTGTGTTCCTTTCCCTAAAAGGGTGAGCGAGGACCAAGAGGTGCAACTGGAGCTCCAGGAGATAACGGCGTAGGGTTCCCTGGTCCCAAGGTAAACTCAGGTGTAGTTAATAAGCATTGATGTCCGGGGAGCAGCCAAAGCATGTCCTGTGTTATACGTTCATCTCTAATCTGTAAACTATATTCTGAAGGGTGACAAAGGTAACCAAGGAAGACCAGGACAACCTGGACCAATGGGTATGGGCGAACCAGGGATGCCGGTGAGCTGACAGCAGTCATACAGAATCTGCTCTTACAGTATCGTTGATCTCATACTGTCACTCTGTTTTTGTGGATTTTTAAGTCAATGTGAAATCAACATTCTTGTAGATGTTGTCACTGAATTTCGTTTTACAATGTATTGATTCTTTTGGTTTAATGTAGAGTGGTAAAACAGATGCGCTGTGAGATGGTCACACAATAGAAAACAGTGTTAATAACCAATCAGAACAACCTATCTGACTAAAAAAACGTTCATAAAATTAGATTTGTAAAACCAATCTGCAGTTCTCTGTGTTCTAAAATGCTGGAGGCGTGTCCACTGAACCATCCGAACCATGCAAACAGACAGGAGCTCATTTCTAATGAACCAAACAGGTGATGTGCTATAGAGGCTGTAGATGTAGAAGATTTTCATTACTTTGAAGAATAAACACTCATTGTTCAGCATAAACTCCTGATGATGGCACCAGATGTGGATTGGACAGCAGGATGGAGGCCGTGGGGCGAGGCTGTCGGATCAGTCACAGCAGATCATCCACTGACCCTCTGCTGGTGGTGATCTTCAGCTCTCCATCAGTGTGGCTTTGCAAAATCAACTGGGAAGGAAACAGGAAAGATACACAGCTAGCAAGTAAACTGTAGGCTATAGTATGTGCAGCAGCTTTACATTTAGCTGGAGAACCTCTGACGCCAACGTGATCTAGTTTGTATACTCGTAGTTTGATGGAGGCGCCGTTCTAAGTGTCATTCAGTCATAATTTGTGACTGCCCAGAAAACCCTGAACACAAAATAATGATCAAAAACAGTCACCGATCATACTCCACAGTCTTCTCACGTGTTCTCAGCACCTACTTTCTGACGTGTTATCTGATCAGACACACATCTTTCTGCTTAGGGTCAAGCAGGACCTCCTGGGATACAAGGTTCTCCAGGCTTTCCAGGTGAGGGCCTCCCAGGATCCAAGGTAAGTTCCAGGATATATCTGGTATCTCTTTTTATTTTTAATTTTTATTTACCTAAAAGAATGAAACGGGTTGTATACCAGGGTAACGCCTGACTTCTCTGGTTTAATAAAGAGTGTCCGTTTCATTAGGATAGTAACTGCATGGTTTGACTCTAGATCTCGTGTTTCCTCCAGGGTGACAGGGGGTATGAGGGTCCCAAGGGCAGTCGGGGACCTCCAGGAGTCGGCTACAAAGGTGATAAGGTAGGTTGGTTACTCCAAGGGCTCCAGACTGTGACCAAAGTGGTTGGGGGAAGGTGACGAGATACAACCAGATCATGTGCTGGTGCAGCCACCAGCGCTGGAGCCCTGGTTAGCTGGTCTGGTCGTAGCAGTGATTCTGTAATGATGGATCTATCTGACCTCTCACTCATGTGACCCGCAGGGAAATACAGGAGCTACTGGGCTGCCAGGTTTGGTCGGGTTTCCAGGGGCCGGCATCCAAGGAGAGAAGGCAAGCCCAATAGAAACGCCCCTAATTAGGTTCCTTTATCTTTCTTTGTTTGTGTAACTGCATTCTAAAATTGGATTTTCTCAATGGCTGTAGGGGGACCAAGGGCCGGTGGGGCCTTCTGGTCCCAGAGGACCTCCAGGACTGGGCATAGTGGGACCAAAGGTTAGTAGCAGAGTATCGGTAGAAAGTTCACACCATGGTTTTACAAACTACATGACATGCTTCATCAGTAATGTACGGAGAATTTACAGCACTACTGTCTAATTCATCGTGTTCAGCAGTGATTGAGGAGCTGTAAAATATTTTCAATACAAATCAACTTGTTTCAGGAGTTTCCTTTGCCAGTGTCTTGACATAACGTGAAGCAATGCAAACTGCTCTATTGAATTAATACAACTGTTGCTTGACAACAATCAAAAGATGCACATGTTGGTAAATCATGCGTGAATGTTATCATTCTTCAGTTGTTGGTCCTCGCATGTGGCTTTGAGTTTGTGACTTCTGTGTTGTCCCAGGGTGACCAGGGGTTCCCTGGAGAACCGGGACCTCAGGGAGAGAGGGGTGCGGGTGAACCAGGACCAAAGGTAAGACGACCGATCTGCCCTTGAATAAAACTATGTTCAGAAGGAGGAAAGCCCGGGCCAAATAAAATGCAGCAAATAGTTTTAGCTGATATATCAGTGATTTTTCAGGGTGAGCCAGGACCTGATGGGGCTGCTGGGATACCTGGCATTCCTGGTGAAGATGGAGCTGTTGGGCCTAAGGTGAGTCTGGAGATCTGGATACTGGACTGGACTTGGTGAGGCTCAAAGGTCACATTTAGTAAAATGACAAGGTTCCATCCAGACAGTGCTGTATGTTGGCCACACATAGCTGTTTATTCAATTACTTTCTGTATTTAATAATTGGATGGTCATAAAAAAATGTTAAAGACTGAAACTATCTTGTATATATATGATGTAAGTATGTGGAACTCCCAACTAGTCAGTCAGAGCTGATGAAGCCTCTTGGATGAGAGGTGGAACATCTTCAAGGAACTCAAGCAGGTCCAGTTGCTACCATTTACCTACCGGAATAATCCAGTAGAACACCTTTGGACGAGTTGAAAGAGGAAGGTAGAGCAACACAACCTCTCAAACAAGCAGCAGCTGCATGACTTGCTTCTGGAGAGTGGCAGAACATCTCTCCAGAAACACTGGTCTTCATTGATAATCATACTGACAAGCTGTGGATCAGGACTCTGGTGTCTTTTAAGGAGTAACTACTCCCATGCTGAGAATCCTGCTCAACTTGATTCCTGCTCTGTCTGGAGTCCAAATTTTGACAAATCTACAAAGTTTTATAACACACATCACAGGTGAAACATACGAGCTCACTGTATTGTCTGTTCATCGTTTTATTTTGTATTTTCAGAGCATTCACATGGATCACAGACTAAACTATGATGCATTTCGTTGTTTCGTGCTGCTGACACAGTTCCATCTGCTGTCTAATGCAGGGAGAGATGGGGTTGCCAGGTCTGCGAGGCCTCGAGGGAGCACCTGGAAAAGGCATGCCTGGAGAAAAGGTAAATGTTATTCACCTGAAGTGCAGCGTGTGTTATGTTTCCACTGTTCTAGAAGATATCCGCAACACCTCTTCCTGTACTCAAAGTAAACCCACAGGCCTGTCTGCAAGCTGTGGTGTAGGTACATATTTACCGACCTGAAGTGACCGTGATGGCAGATGGGGAGCAGTAATAGAACAGAACAATAAATATGAATATAAGTATTCTGGGGGTCAGTGAGGCCAGCGGCTGCAGGTCAGAGACGTGAAGTTCCGGATCCATAGACGTCCGCAGAGAGAACAAACACAGGACCACCATGGTGGGCCTCATTAAGGACAATGAGACTCACAACAGGGAGGAGATCCAGCACCTGACCCGCTGGTGTTCAGACAACAACCTTGTGCTGAACACCAGCAACACAAAGGAGGTCATTGTGGATTTTAGGAGGTCCAGGAAGGCAGAGCAGCTCCACATATAGGGGGAGGCAGTTCCTGGGCCTACACACCACATCTGACCCAACCTGGTCCCAGAACACATCCTCCCTGCTGAACAAAGCTCAACACAGACCTTTCTTTTCCTAAGGAGGCTGAAAAGGGCCGGACTCTCCTCCAAACTCCTCATAAATCTTTACAGAGCCGTAATAGAAACTGGCCTTTGTCTTGGTGCTACAGCGTGGTATGAGAGCTGTACATCCCAGGACTTGACCCAGGTAGTCACAACATCCCAGGGAACTGTGGGACGTCTCCTACCTGATCTGGACTTGGTTTACGCTGGTCGAGTCCAGAGGAAGGCTAGGCGCATCGCCCCAGATCCCACCCACCCGTCTGTTGGTACCGTTCCCCTCAGGAAGGAGGTTCAGAGCGATCAGGACTAGAACACAAAGATGTCATCGTGTGTATGGAAGCTTGTGCATTATGACATTGAAAGGGTTGTGATTCTGATTTAACACCAGGATGTTGGGCTATGTGACATGTGTTTGCTCTTTCACAGGGAGATCGAGGTGACCGAGGCCCAAGGGGACTTTCAGGGTCTCCAGGGCCGGTTGGACCCGCTGGAGCTAAGGTATGTTAAATACAGGTTACCCCTGAGGTCTGCTTGCTCTAGAATAGTTCAGGTAGCTGGAGCAGTACCAGAGGTTTAGGGTCAGGTCACATTTAATGGGTGAATGCTTCATTTATGTCGGGTCTTGGACCACAGGATTGTAATTACAGGTTCGTCCCACATGACAGCTCAAAGTGTCCAGTTTTAAAGTCCAAAGCTTCTAGCTGATGCACCAGGTGAAGCACTTTACCTGCAGTCTGGAGAGCATCGTAGCAGTGTCATAGAAACAGCTGTCTGCTGCTGGGAGAGCCTAAGATTGTATTTATGGGGCCTATGTCATTTTTAGGGATATATATTTATGTGTTTGATCAACTGCCTATTTCAGGATTTCAGCCACATACAGAAGAAACAAGCAGTCTGTAATTTAAATAGAAGCTTTGTTTTAAGTGTAAGAGACAGAATATCAACAAAAAACAGAAAACCACATGTTCTTACAGTTCTAAACTAACCTCCAGTTGATCCACAGCCAGACATGACTTCGTGTCTGGTGGGTAACGCACAGATGTCAGACATGTGTTGTAGTTGGTCACCAGGTTTGCACACATCTCAGGAGGTATTTTAGACCACTCCTCTTTGCAGATTCGGTCCAGATCCTTAAGGTTCTGAGGCTGATGCTCAGCTCCCTCCATAGACTTTCTACCGGCTTCTTTGCTGCCTTGGCCATCTGCTTTGGGTCATTATCTTGCTGGAAGACACATCCATGGCCCATTTTAAGTGCTCTGGCCAAGGGAGGGAGGTTCTTGCTCAAGAGTTCGTGGTACACGGCCCAATGCGGTCGACCTGTACAGCCCCAAAACTTAATGGTTCCACCTCCATGCTTGGCTTCAGGGATGGTGTTCTTGGGGGTCATAGTGGGCATTCTTCATCGAACTGATGGCAGAGAGCTCAACTGTGGTCTCATCTAACCAAATCACATCCCCCCGAGCCTACAGAGCATCATTAAAATGCTCAGAGAGGCCTGGAGATGTGGTTTCTTGAGCAGGGGGACCGTGCAGGATTTCAGACCATCATGACACGTGTGTTCCCAATAGTTTCTTGGTGACTGTATCGCAGCAGCCCTGACATCATTACCAAGCTCCTCCTTGTTCTGGGATTATTCATGATCTTCCTGGTGATCAGAGATACTGCACGAGGTGAGATCTTGCCTGGAACTCAGGACGGATGCTGATTTATTGTTTATTGTTTTTTCTTTCATTGCACCGAGAGTCGTCACCTTTTCACCAAGGTGCTTGCTGATAGTCTGTTAGCCTTTTCCAGCCTCTACAATCTGGTCTCTGATGGCTTTAGATGGCTCTGTAGTGTTGCCTCTTTCCAACTGGAATCCTTTCAAGGAGGAAACAGACTTCTTGCAAAACAAAAATGAGAATGCAGTTTAGTTGTTTAAGATCAAGATTTTTGTGTGACGGCGTCATAAAGACGTGAGTAAATGTGACTTCCACCTGCTGAAAAAGTCTGTTCTGACAATGGAAGCTTTCTTTCAGAACAAGTACCTTTTGTCCTCCAGCTGAGAAAGGTCATGAGAAATGTTTGCTTTGTGCATTTACAGAAACATTTATCAATGATGTTTATTGACTTATGTGCTCAGGGAGAGCCTGGCAGCTCAGGAATGATGGGCCCACCTGGACCTGCTGGGCGGGGCTTTCCAGGACCAAAGGTGAGGACAAGCAGCTCACAGACACACTTCTGAGTGACGAGCTCAGTCCTGCTGACGTACAGTCACCACTGGTTTGTAAAAGATCAACTACAGCAGCAGCTGATGCTGGAATTAATCCAACAACACTCATTTCCTTACTACTTCTCATCAACGTGTGTGTAACAGTTTCTGCGTTAGCTTTCAGTGTTGTGTGTGTGTGTGTGTGTGTGTGTGTGTGTGTGTGTGTGTGTGTGTGTTCACCACATCCATCTGTAATAATGGCCTTTATGGATGAGATGCAGTTATACACCGGCTGCATGTAGAGCAGATGGTTTACACTCCGGCACATAGCCAGCCTCTGTAACTAAACACACAGGAAGTCCTGCTTTACCACCAGGAAGTCCTCATGTTTCTGTAGCCAACAGACCAACGGTATCCGTGTCAGCTGTGCGTGGTCATCACGTTTCAGTTCACCTTGGTAAATGTCTGTTCCTTCCTCTGTGAGCATACGTCTGACCTTTGTTTACTTTCTTATTGTCTTGTGTATATGCATATATCTAATATGTCATACAGTATTTATCTATATGCATGTACTGGTATTAATTTATGTTTTTTTTTTTAAGTCACAACCCTCAGATTGTATTGTGGGTCTCATACACCACATCCAGTGTCAGTTAATGTGACTATTGTTCACTTATAACAGGGAGATCCTGGGCCTGTGGGACCATCTGGGCCTGTTGGAGAACCTGGAGTAGGAATCATTGGGCCAAAGGTAACATACATATATTCCACGTCAGTGCACTGTGGATTCAAGTAGGAAGTGCATGCACAGGAAAAGATATGACAAAAGCTTTGACTGTTTCTTTCAAACATAGTGTGTGAACTGTTTCCTCCTTCCTTCCTTCTTAAGGGGAACAAAGGAAACACTGGGCCTGTGGGGCCACCGGGGATGAAGGGAGAGGGCTTACCAGGACCACAGGTGAGATGAATACACAATGAGGGAACAACTGAATGACCCTTGTATTCAGTTTGTAAATGAAAGTCTTCCCCTTGTCCATTAGGGTCTGCCTGGCTTACCAGGACTTCAAGGAGAGCTGGGACCTGAAGGGAAAGGACTGCCTGGACCAAAGGTGAGTGTAATGACCTGCAGGTCCCATACGGTGAAAATTAATTCAACTCCATGTTTGTAGATTTTCAGAAAACTTATTTTTTTGTTGTTTGCTTGAGATAATATCGATCAAACTGAAGCTGAGTGGATGTGACTCTTTTATTGTGTTTTCTGGATGTTCTAAATCTGAAGATGTAAAATAAAAGCTGTAAAGACATAAAGACCCTGAGCGGCAGTCAGTGGCAGGCTTACATCTGGTGAGTCAGAGGAGCCTCTCAGCTTTGTAGCCAATAAGGGTTTTGCTGAGCTGCTCCGTATGGGAACAGGAAGTGTAACGCCATTGGACATGAGATATAAGTGATGTGATGTGATGGCAAACCAACAGGAAGCAGGCTTAATAATAATTGATCAGATTTATATAGCGCTTTTCTGGACACTCAAAGACGCTTTACGGCCCTTCCGACCACCACCTCAAACAATCCATTCATACGCATTCACACCAGGGAAGGTGGGTGAAGTGTCTTGCCCAAGGACACAACGACCACGAAACAGGTTGCAGGGCGGAATCGAACCGCCGACCTTCCGATCACCGACCGACTCGCTCTACCACCTGAGCCACAGCCGCCCCTTCATAGGATGGAAACGTTGTCATCGTTTGTTTTGTGTGTTTCCTGTGTCAGGGTGACCGAGGCCTACCAGGCGTCCCAGGACCATCAGGGGCTCCTGGAATCGGACTTTACGGACCAAAGGTCAGTCTGTGAACATACTGTACGAAGTTCAACCGTTTCTGTTGTCGTTATAAATCATTTCCTCTGTATATCATAGTTTAATCTTATACCTTGACACTAGATCTTTTGAATTGCGTCCTCAGGGCTCTACAGGGCAGCCTGGTCCAACTGGCCAGCCTGGACCTCCAGGAGAGGGCATCCCAGGACCAAAGGTAGGCTTGCATAGGTGCTTTTGTCTAAGAGTTCAGCAGAAGCTATGGGTCAGCTGACTGTGGGGATTTGTTGTATATTGTCCCTTCTTGAGTTATTAGCCAGTTTTACTTCATCAGATAAATAAACTTGTGGTGTTTGACTCCATGGATTGGCTCTAAGACCAGTTTGGGTGCCCCGGTAGGCGACCCATAAACAGGCTGTAGGCCCCGATGTAGCGGCCGTGGGTTTGAATCCGGCCCATGGCCATTTACTGCCAGTCCTTCCCCACTCTTCTCCCCACTTCCCTGTCTTCTTCTCTCCACTTGACTATCTTGTAAAGAAAAGATAATAACAAAAGACAAAAAAAAAAAAAAATACAAACACACACACACACACACATATATATATATAAATTATTCTATTTTTTTTTTTAATTTTATTTTATTTTTTTTTTAAAAAAAGACTCATGTTATATGCTGGTGACACTCGTGTTAGTCTTAAGTTCTATATTCTTAAAATTCTTTATTCTTAGGGAGAACCTGGGTTTCAGGGACCAATGGGTCCTCGGGGGACACCAGGAGATGGTCTTCCAGGGGAGAAGGTATGAATGATGAAGAGCTACTACATGTGGGAATGATTGCATGACCTGTCCTCCACATTAGCTGTAATAAAGAGCGCTTTGACTCACATGCAGGGCGATCGAGGCATTCCTGGAGACAGAGGAAAGAAAGGAGACAAGGGAGACTATGGAGAGCCTGGATCACCTGGACCAATGGTAACGTAGCGTGTTCCATCTTAGAGATACTTGAAGTGTCCTTAATACTTCCTTACATGAATTGTGATGATAACTTTCATTGCATTTACTACACGTGATATGGACTCTGTAGAGACGGTTCTGATAGAGTCTTGGCTATTAATCTTCATGCTGCAAAAATGTATTTAAGTAAAGCATTTTTAGGCAGATAGAGTAAGCGTAGAGTAAAAAGTAGTGCCAATCAACTGATGAACAAGAAATACAGTTGAGTCAGTTACTGTATTTCTCTGTTTACATCTTAAAAATACTGTCCAGGTCAATGTGTTGGTGATGTATATGACCATATTTTTTCTAAACCCCATCCTAGATGGATTGGCTAAATCTACTTAAAGGTCTTAAAAGCAAATAAATCCTGGTGCCTGATGTTAGCTCCATCCAAAATCTGACTACAGTTGCCTTGTGTGAGCTTTTGGCAGCTTTGTTCTTCACAGAATAAATGGGCTTTATGCCACTCACGAGAAATGAAATGATGATGTGCTGCTGCTTCAATCAACAGGTTATGTGTTCAAAGGCAGACGCTGCTTTAAATCCCAAACTCTGAACATAACCTGCTCCCGACCAGTTTCGCTCCGCAGCATTAGTTACCATGGAGACCTAGCTCTACAGCATCAGTCACCATGGAGACCTAGCTCCACAGCATTAGTTACCATGGAGACCTAGCGCCACAGCATTAGTTACCATGGAGACCTAGCTCCGCAGCATCAGTACCATGGAGACCTAGCTCCACAGCACCAGTTATCATGGAGACCTCGCTCCACAGCATCAGTTACCATGGAGACCTAGCTCCACAGCATCAGTTACCATGGAGATGTAGCTGCATGATACTGAAACCTCTGGCTTTATGTTCAACATACCTCACTAACCCACTGATCTCGCTTCGTACCCGGCCCTCAGAGCATCTCCTCCATCAGGTCATGGAGTACTTTTTTTCATTTGACTTCCTAATCTGTGTCTGATCTCACAGGGGAGAACTGGAGAGAAGGGAGAACCAGGACTGACAGTGAGTAACTGACATCAATCACACTGAACTTTGTATTTTAACAATGAAAATAATCGCCTGTTTTTTTGTCTTCTTTCTTTTGGTACACAGAGCGAAGAAGTCATCAGAATAATCAGGGAAATCTGTGGTAAATTACAGGTTTTCTCATGTTTTGAGACAGTTTATTCATCAGTCAGCTACAGCTGCTAGCTGGAAGCTAATGTCTAACAGATTTAAAATAAGTGGACCAAATATCTTCCACTGCAACGCTTTGAAACATGTTGTATAATTCAATCAGGATAACCTTATCTGGGGCCTGTACTAGGAAGCAGGTTTAAATCAAATCAAATAATTAAAATACATAAAAACTATTGCATGAGAAGGTGTGTCCAAACTTCTGACTGGCACTATGCTTCAAATCTATAAATAGGCAAATCTTATCAGCTCAACAGTCAGGCTCTGAGGCTGCAGTGTTTTCTGACCAGGTTGGTTTTATAGCGCTGTACGAAGGCAGATAGAACAATGAACCTTTAACCTGCTTTGTTGTTCAGGCCTCTGAGCTAATGATAGGTCAGTAGATGTTATTATTTACAAACTGCACAGAGATAATTGTTGCACAGGTTGTTGTTTTTTTTTTAACAATTATTCATGTTGAGCCATGTCGTGTCTTTACATGTCCCATGTGTCTCGTCCATGTGCTGCCCAGGCTGTGGTCTCAAGTGCAGAGAGAGCCCGCTGGAGCTGGTGTTTGTCATCGACAGCTCTGAGAGTGTTGGACCAGAAAACTTTGAGCTGGTGAAGGACTTTGTCAACGGTCTTATTGATCGGATGACAGTAAGCCGGGAGGCCAGCCGGGTCGGCGTGGTACTGTACAGTCACATTGACGTCGTGGTGGTCAGTCTGCAGCAGCAGTCCAGCCAGGAAGACGTCAAGGCCGCCGTCAGGAAGATGCCCTATCTGGGCGAGGGCACCTTCACAGGCAGTGCCATCCATCGAGCCAACCAGCTGTTCCAGGCCTCTCGGCCCGGTGTGAGGAAGGTGGCCGTGGTTTTAACGGATGGGCAGGCCGACCCGCGTGACGTCATGCAGTTCGAAGACACAGCCACAGAGGCCCACGCAGATGGGATAGAGGTGTTCGTCGTGGGAGTTGTGAACAAGACGGACCCCCTGTATGAAGAGTTCCAGTCTGAGATGGATGTTATTGCCTCTGATCCGGATGAAGAGCATGTCTACCTCATAGATGACTTCAGGACACTTCTTAGTAAGAAATACTTCTTAGATAACTCCTCAAAGCCACAGATGGTGACACAGCTAACACACCACTGACTGATACTGCAGGGACCTTCTCTAACTAGCTGCTAAGCTTTCAGGTCTAACTGGTGCACCAAATCCATCCATCCATCATCTCTACACCTTAACCCTCACTAGGGTGGGGGGCGGAGTCTATCCCAGCTGACTCAGGGTGAAGGCAGGTTCACCTGGACAGGTAACCAGTCTATCACAGGGTGACACTGAGGATTAAGGTGTAGAGATGATGGATGGATGTTTTGAGTCAGAAAGTGTGTATTTCTTTTCTCTAGGTCTCATGTGATGAGCACCACCTTCCTCCTTCGTTAACTCCTGCTTTGTGTTGGTACAGCTCTGGAGACTACCTTACTGAGTCGGATCTGTGAGCAGGACACGATGGCCTTCCTACCAAACTTTCCGTCTGTGAAAACCCTCCCACCGGCTCCAGAAGCCCCTCGTTCTCAAGAGTTCCCAGAGGAGGAAAACAGACAAGTGATGCTGCTTTCATATCGTTTGGAGACATAATAAACATAAAGCCATAGACATGTATTGTCTTTAATGTGAGCTTGTCCTACTTCCCAGCTTGAACACCCAGAGGAACCGGTAACAGCGCCGCCCCCACAGGCCCCTGAGTCGCGGCGGCTGGATGAGAACCAGGGTAACACTGAACTGCTGGTGGAGCCCTGGAACGAGCTGCCAGACATCACGCTGTCGTCTCCTGGTGGGAAGCAGGGTCCAGGGGTGACCTCTGTGGTGGGTCCTCAGAGTCCCACTGACTGGCTGTATGAGACAGAAAGCACACAGGCGCCCTCCAGCCCTCCTCCTCCTCCACCCCTGACGGACTCACCACTGTCAGGTAAAGAGCCCCACCTTTAGCACACATCATCTACGTCATTCACTTGTACTACAGCCACAGTGACAAACAGATGATGAACAACCTCGTCTTCTGTGCAGCCCGTTAAACGGCTGCTTTTCACACGGTTAGTGTTTGTTGGGAAACCTGGCTGCCTCCCTGTTTAAAGTAGTTCCCTTTTGTTAGTCAGGACAATGAGCAGAGTGGTAATGAGGTACATAAACCATATCGGCTGAAACAAACACATCAGATATCAGAGAGGGAAGAGTGTGACTGCCGTGACTTTGTGGCAGGATTGTTGGCTGCAGAAGGCCTGAATGCTTCTGAAGCTGCCGACCTCCAGTCTGTAGGAGTGAACTCTAAACACTGCTCAGTGAGGGTTTGTGATGGCCAACAGCTCACACACAGCACCCTTCCTGTCCTTTCAGATGAGGGGTGCGATCAGCCTCTGGACCCCGGCCCCTGTCGACAGTATGTAGTCCGGTGGTACTACGACCCTGAGGCCAACGCCTGCGCCCAGTTCTGGTTCGGAGGCTGTGGAGGCAACGCAAACAACTTTGAGACGGAAGCCGCTTGCAGGAACACCTGCGTCTACACGTAACAGACTGTCTCTGGAGAGAAGAGTGTGTGCCAGCTAACATGCTCCATCAGCGCCACTGAGGACCAGCGTGACGTAGCGACGTAGGCTTTACTGTTGGACCGGAGCTCAGGGCGCTGCTGCCGTCGTGCTCTGTGGACTGCTGCAGGCGGTGAGACGATGGAGAGCAGATATGGACCGCCACACCGTCTCTCAGACTACGTTCACACCGCAGGAGCTCCACTCTCACCTGCTCTACATGTATTACCTGTCTTGTTTTGTTCCATCTTCCAGGACTCATTTTAAATGCATTTTGTTTTGTTCTCACTTTCTTTCTGTTGCTGTCAGGTCGTCATTCAGGCTAAAACTGAATCACCAGGTCCTATAACATAAGGTCAACACAGAGCCCACTGAGCCGAACACTGATGGTGCTGAATGACTTGAGCTTTCACTTTCAGTCTACTTTCATACCGTACGAGTCCGTACTGTCACACTGTACAGTAGCATCACAATTAGAATAACACAAAGGAGCTGTAGACACTATTTCCAAATATAGTTAAATAGTAAAGCAGAAACCAGAGGTAGCTGGCGTCATTGTGCAGACCTCAGGAAGTACTGGTCTCCATGGCAACGACAAACACACAGAGCAAGTCAAACAAGTTAAAATAAATACACTTACATAACTGTAAATGAATATAAGACTGATATTTTCAGAGAGCAGCAGCAGCCCGGCTCACTTTAGCGCCGTGCTAACGAGACGCCCTGCGATCAATGAGTCAGGACTGAATAAACGGGACTCACATGCCTCATGAGCTCATTTTATATCTGGTCCGTCACTATCCTCAGACTTTATCACATTCAGTGGATCTTGTCTGAAAAGCCTGAAGACATGTTGTATGTTCGTAAACATAATTCAAGTGAAACAAAAAAGTCCTGTTACGTTAAAAATCTATTTATCTTCTTTGTATTTTCATAGAAGCAGAAAATCATATTATTTAAGAAATAAAGTCTTAGATTTTAAAACCCAAACATATTATATGTATACTGTAATATTTTGAGAGTGAAGTCATTTTTACCAAAAAAAAAGTTTGTTCAGAAAATATGGTCACGTCTTTACAATTAGAAATACGTCAAGAATAAAGTTTGTTTTCAGGAAAACCATTTTGACATTTTGGTTTTACAAAAATTATTTCAAAGTGAAAATAAAGTCACAAAATAATATATAGAAATAAAGTCAAAAACTAAATCGAAAATAAGAAATAGCACTCGGCTTTAAGTGATGACATTTTAAGACGAAGTCCTAATCTTCCAGGAGACCGAGACAGAAGCCACCACAGAGGCCTTCACAGATTTGTCTGTTTATGGATGAATTTAGCATCACAGCTGTCTAGACACAGTCAGAAACTCTACAGATGTGCAGCTGAACTCAGAATGAAGGTTCAAACAGGGTTGAGAACAGTAGCAGCCTCGTTCATACAAACAGGAATAGAAATGATAGAAACAGGACGTCCAGGTGTCTGCCTCAGACTTACAGCTTTATTCTCTGAGAACTTTTTCTCCAATTTCTGACTTTATTTACTTTGATTTTTTTTGTCAGTTGTTCTACTACTCTCTGTATTAATAATAGATGCATAATTATATACATGTATAATTGCTTTGTGTGTAAACTCAGTCATAGATCAACAGAACATTCAGCTGTAGCCGACATGACTGAGGCTCATTTCATCCTGTTTTTTATTTTTATTTTGGTTCCACTGGTGTGTCTGAACACGTGATTGCAACGTGGTTTAAACTGCAGCTCATTCATGTCAGCAGGATGTCATGTCGTATCAAAAATGGGTCAGATTAGGAGCTTTCAGAGTTTCCAGCGACTTCACATCCAAACCAGGACGTCTCTCTTCCATACAGCAACACTACATCCACGTCTCTATGGCAACCCCTTTCTGAAATATGATTGTTAACGTCTAAACCACAAAATGTTACTGAAGCAAACAGCACGGAGCAAAACTAATAGATAAACATCAGCACTGAGGTAGTTACACCTGCAATGTGAATACAGTCTCCTGTATGTAGTTTATGGAGCCAACAGTGTATAAAAGTTTTTATTTTAGGGTAAATTCTGTGATACGTCTTGTTATGTGTTTGTAGAAGAGGCTTTAAGGGCATCCTGGTCACTAAAGTAAAGTCCTAACCTGCTGTAGCTCCTTCTGTGTCCACTTCTTCAGTTGTAGTCGTTTTATTTCCTCTTAACGAGATGTATTAACCTCCACGATGAATGTTGTACCGAGAGTCACACTTTCCTGTAAAATATATTTTATTGTTTAACACTGTCAGAAGGAATAATATGTAGAGCAGCAAATAAACTTTTTTTTTCAATATGTAAACTGATTTCTAGGACTGCTTATTTCAACAACAGGAGCTGGGCTTTGACATCCAGAACCCAGAGTTCTGGAGGCTCAGGCAGCAACTCAGGTCCTGCAGTACAGAGACTAACACAAGGTCAGACTATTGTTAAATGACAGTTCAGTGACAGTAGAGGAGCACAGGTAGAAAGTGAGGCAGCATGAAGCACATGTGGACTGTGGAGAGTAAACTCCTGTTCCACTGACCCACCCTAAAACCCTGGAAGGAACAGTCTGAGAACGTTCTCCCACCTTCCCAGATAGATCAGATCAGATATCACCAGCCGCTACACAAAACAACATGTCTGCTTCTGGGTTTATGTGCTGGACTATTTCTGGACCAGGAGAAGCAGATCTCTAGAGTCGCTGCTCCTGGTGAAGACACAACTCAGCACATAATCCCCCATAACACCACAATTTGATGTTCCAATACAAATCAGAGTGATGACACAGAACATAAGTAGTGATATGAAGGTGCTAGTAGCTGGAGGTTGTTGTGTTCTTTGTGCTGAGCTCAGCAGCAGCAGCAGCTTCATATGTGTCTTATAAGCATTAGAGTCGGAACATGTAATGCTGGCGTCAGTACAACTGATGGTCATTTCCTGTGTGGCCTGTCAACAAAAACAACGTACAGGAAGCCAGCAGACAGACCGGTCATGTTTTAAACTGTTCTTTAGGCTTTAACAGAGACAGCCAGGATCATGTAGACCGCTTTGACCACGGTTTGGTTCTGGGTTTCAGAGGTCTGTCCACAGCACCTCCCTCCTTGGTCATCATTAGATTCTGACTATCATCAGAACGGCTCTGATCACAGGAACAGTCTCATCAAGATAAAACAAAAAGCAGATATCCCATCATGTTGAACCAACATAACCTTCGATTTGAATTCTTCTGTGATCACATGTGCTGAATGCTGCCTTCTACACACTAACCTTTATGCACTAATATATTCAGTAAACATTTGATGCATTCTGATCTGTACCTCACACTGAGACGACAGTACACTGTATGATTAGCTCAGGGAGTGTTGAGAAGCTGAGTATGCCATGATTCTTCTGTTTTGAAGGTTTCTGGCTGATAAATGGTGTCACTTTGGTTCATATTTAACACAGAAACCATCCAACCATGTTGGATTTTTCATGACAATTCTTTATTATTAGACAAGTTGGTAACAGACCCATTTTCACCACAAACATCACATGAAAGTTTTCAGTTAGCTGGCAGAAATATTCAGGCAAGTAGAGGGTATTTACACAATATAAAATTTGATTAAATCCATTGGGTCATAAAGCTCCACTCAGCTCTGAAACCAGCAGATTCCCTCAACGTCTCCTCCAGACTGGCAGCGTTTCACCTGGATGTAGCTGTTGTGTTCAGTTCATCAGGATTAAATCTGTATTTGTATCCATACGGCCGCAGGTGATACGTCAGGTACTCCAACTCATACAGCTGGGTGGCGTAGATGTAGTGGAAGGACACAACGAAGTCTGAGCAGCAGCCTGGACCCTGGAGAGAGGGGCGGGGTGCAGAACACAGGTTAGCAGAGTCACAGACGGGGTTCAGATGGTTTGACGGATTGAGTATAAGATGACTGACAGGAGACGTATCAGCACGACTACACTAAACACAGTCACCCTCGTAGGCTTTCAGTTTAACCCAACCACCATTTTCTCCACCCTGGTGTTCAGTCAAAGCTCCCAGAACTGCTTTTATTTATGACCAAAACCTACCTGTCTGGGGTTGCATGCTCTATGTGGGCACCTACTGCTAGTGGCGGCTTTAGACACAACCACATCGTATGTTGGTTGTCTATCTCAATTAGAAATACAGCAAATGCTAAAGACATTATCGACCTAGTATGCTTCAATCACAGTAACACGGCAGCAGCAAAATAAGTAAACAAGCATAAAACTGTCCTGCTTTGTGTTTAGTGCTAAAGAGCAACTGCTAGCTGTGATGAACTGAGGACAAACACACTGCAAAGACACTGAATGTAAACTGGGTTGGACAGATTCCCCTAGCTTGGACTAGCTGACTGGCATGTCTGTCTGTCCGTCCATCCATCCATCCATCCATCGTTTAGTCCTCACTAGACCAGGCTACATTTAGACTATCAGTAGGATGTTCTGTATAGTGTTATTTACCTCAACTGGAGGGTAGTATTCGTAGAGCAGATACCAAGGCCGTGGTCTTGGGGGCTGTCGAACCAGATAGTAGTCTGGAGGATAAGGATGAAACGTTTGCCTCCCCTTCACATCTCTGGAGTCTGCCAGCTCCACCTTCATGGTCTCCATGCATTTCCCCAGAGCCATGTCCTCTATGGAGGAGAAGTGGGTGCATTCCCCTGTGTCGAAGCCTCTGATGAATCTGCGCAGGGCTTCCTTACTGAGGACGTAACCTGCTCCTCCACTCATGTAGCCCTGGCTGATGAAGGGGGTGAACCTTCTGCCCAGGTACAGTGGTCGCTCCGGGTCGTATCTGGACAACGTGTAGTGGAGATTCTCTATCACCACATAGGTGTCGTCGTCTGCCTTCAGGAACCAGTCTGCTTCATCCAGGTGGTGCCGGTGGATGTATTGGAAGGCTCGGATCGTCTTCCAGTACAGGTTGTCCCTCCCCTCGCTGACATTCAGGTCCACAGTGGGGAAGTCCGTCTTCACCGAGCTCATGTACAGAACTTTGCTGCAGCGTTTGGCCCATGTCTGCCTGATGTGCCTGGCTCGAGACTCCAGGTTCGTAGGTCCTGTCATGATCCAGCATAAGACGCGGGTCGGGTGAGAGGAATTAGCCACCGAGCTGTTGTTCGCACCTGGTAGTACAAAAACAGAACATCAGCCATGTGGACCACGGGTACAACTCTTTAGGATCATTAGTACAGATTACAGATGGACCGATTATTGGCCGACGCATATCAGCATCAGCCTTTTTTGCAATCCGATGGTTGATAAGAGATCAATTTAAAACTGGGTTATTTCAGCTCTGATGCCGCCTCTCTGGCTTCAGCATTGTCCCGCCCACAGCACCATCTGATTGGTTACAGCAGAGCCACGGTCAGGTAGCAGCCAATCAGCAGTGAAAGCTGTGTATGGAGATATGTTTGGAAGGCAAGTTAAGGCAGCAGACTCTTGTGAAACTGTACTAAACATCCCAGTCCTCTACAACTCAACTACTGGTACTGTGAGCCCAGTAATGGGATATGAAGCGGCAGCTCTGCAGCTCGCTCGCTGTGATCGTAGAAGTATGAGTGTAAAAAACCTAATGGACTCAATTCAGTCCAGTTTAATTGCTGGTGAAAGCTGATTAGCTTTTAGCACAACATTAGCCCACTCAGAGACCTGTTAAGTAACAAGTAAACTTGTTGCCTTGCATGGAACACCTAACCAGACCGAACCCTAACACTGGATGAGCCAACAAAACCCTAAGTTATCTGTTGGCCCCGCTTCCAGCATGAGTCTGTCTGTTGGACGTCAACACTGTGGTCCAGCTTGAAAATTGGGTTCGGATCCTGGTATTTTGATTCAAGGACAAAGAGAACGAGTCATTTATTGTACTTCACATGGACATTAGCTGACAGATGTTTGATGTTTTTTGATATGTGAATTTAAAAAATAAATAAAAAAGCAATTTACAATCAAATCTGGTTAATCGTGTTTTTTTGGTAACGACACAGAGGTGCAGCTGTTAGCACGACAAGAGAAATGTGTCCAGTCTTGTTTGATTGCGAAAGAGTTTCTCACAAACCACCTGCCAGTTGATGAGATCAGCCATCATCATCAGTCAACAGCATTCCAGTTCCAAAGAGCTGACCCAACCTTGCACCAACACCATACACCTGACAAGGTGCAGATAACACTCCTTCTATTGTTCTGCAAATAACGAGCTGTGGCATTTTGGCATCCAGACTTACTTCCTTCTCAATAAAGACACCAAGAAGAAACGCCAAGACCAATGCAAGAATAGGTTGTTTCTGCATCGGCGTTGACTGTTTCACTTGGTAGCTTTTTAATTTAATCTATTTTTGTTATGAATCTACGTTCAAACTGAGAATGTTTTCTACCTCGTGGAAGCCATTACTGCTGTCTAATCTCTGCCAGACACTGACTACATGGTGACATCCGACTGATGAAAAGTTGTTGATGGATCTTTGACACTCAGGCCAATACTAACTAGACAGTGAAACTCAGAACGACTCCATAGAAAATAATTTATTATACCTCAAACGTACAGTACATTTCTGTATATGAGCTACAGAAAGCTTTTCAGCTTTGAAGGTGTGTGTGTGTGTGTGTGTGTGTGTGTGTGTGTGTGTGTTGGATGCTGTGTGCATCTCTGCAGGGTGGTACTTCTGGACGTACATACCGGTGACTGAGGCCAGATGTTCATGTGAGCTGCACCTTACAGATGCTGCTGCTGTGAAAACCATTCTAAATAGCCACAGTTGTCTTGTTCGGTCAATTTTAGACCATCAGTGAGTATCCACAGACGCTATAACAACTACAACTATAAATATGTGTAGTTTTGGGAGGGTTGGTCATTTGCCCATCTATAGCCCACCTGGACAGATGAAAAAAAAACAAACAACTCCCCACTCGTTTACAGAAAATGTTTGTTTTTGGCATTTTAACTTGATGCCTCAGGGTTAAATCGTGTCATTTATTTATCATTTATTGAAGGAAAAATGCTGTCTAGTCTCACCATCGTCTATGAGGAAAAGTAACTGCCCCTTTAGCTTCCAATCTACCACATTCATTCTGCACTGGGTCCAGTTTCACCAGCCACACCCCCCTGTGATCACCACCAGCCTGACTGAATCTAAATGACGGTCAACAGAACCTGTGTGGCATCGGAAGCAGCTAAAGGGTCTCAAAAAGCAGCACATAGAATAGAAATAATAGAACAGAATAAAACTTTATTAATCCCTTCGGTACAAGACCTCAGGGAAATTGCTAATGATGATGATAAATGATGATAAACATGATGCCAGGTTCTGAAGAGATTCAGGAACAGATGTGAGTCACTGACATCTATCAGTCTGGAGGGCTACAAACCACTGCTGATGCTCTGGGAATCCACAGAACCACACTGAGAGACATCATCCACTCATGGAGAAACATGGAGCAGTGGTGGACCTTCCCAGGAGCGGCCGGCTGACCAGAATGTCTCAAGGGGGAGCATCAACATCTCATCCAGGAGGTCACAGAGGAACCCAGACTACCATCCAAAGACCTGCAGGCCTCCATGGCCTCAGTTAAGGTCAGTGTCCATGACTCAACAACAAGGAAGACCTGCAGGACAAACATGGCCTCCATGGGGGAGCTCTAAGATGCAAACCACCACTGACCAAGAAGAACATCAAGGCTCGTCTGGCATTTGCAAAACAACATGTGGATGAGCACCAAGACTTTCGGGAGAACATTCTGATGACTGAGGAGTCAAAGGTGGAGCTTCCAGGAAGACTTGGGTCCAGCTACATCTGGTGTAGAGCTGATGCTGTGTTCCACCTGTAGACCATGATAGCAGCAGTGGAACATGGTGGAGGTAGTCTGATGGTTTCAGGACCTGGACGACCCGTCAGGACTGATACAGACATGAATTCTGCTCTCTATCAGAAAATCCTCCTGGAGAACTTCTGCCCATCAGTTCACAACCTGAAGCTCAAATGGGTTCTGCATCAATGACCCAAAGCACACAAGCAGGTCCACCTCTGGATGGCTCAGAAAGAACAACATTAAGGTTCTGGAGTGGCCGAGTTAAAGTCCAGAGACTGTAGCAAGACCTTAAAAGAGCAGTTCACACTGGGAAACCATCTGATGAGGCTGAACTGAAACTGTTCTGAAGAGAAGAGTGGACCAGAATCCCTCCATGGCGATGAAAAGACTGATCACAAGCTACTGTGGCCCAGAGTGGACCGACCAGTTGGTAGGGTGAGTGGACGTTCACGTTTTGTCAATAAATCTTTTTAAGAAAACAAAAACAAACAAACAAAAAACAGAATTTCTAAACTACACTTTGTGTTTTGTGATCGATCTGTCTGATATTAAATTAACAAAATTATTAGTTTAATGATCTGGAACACTGAAGTGTGAGAAACATGCAAAGGTAGAGACACCAGGAAGCTCTAAGACACCTGATGAACATATGAGGGGACAGTGTGAGGAAACCTGTTGCGTTGGGCTGCCTACCTGGGAGTTGCCGGTCGTCCCTCACGGAGAACCGGGCCGGTACCGGCGGCATCCTGGAGTCGAACACAAAGCGGAGGGACAGGAATCCTAAAGCCAGGCCGGCAGCGAACATGACACCGGCCTTGCTCCTCATCCTGCCGGTTCAGCGGCCGCACGGAGCTCCGAGCAGATACGCGCTCACAGTGCTCATGAGCCTCTCCTCTGTCCAATCGGTCTAAGTCCTCCCACGTCATCAACGGACAGGTGCTGCTCCACCGGCAGCCACGCCCCCTCTGTTCTGACAGACCTCAGCATGGAGCAGCCACATGCTGACTGATGTGCTCAGAGGGAAAGTCCAGAGTCAGAATCACTTTCTGCACAAAACGTGTCGTGTTTCAGTGACCTGATGGAGGATGAAGGTCTGAGTAATCTGAAGATGCTGAGATCTGATCTCAAGCAGCAGCAGCAGCATGACAGATGTGTGTCTCATGAGTAAACCTGAACCCATCTCGGCATCTTAAGCACCACTGTTTGAGTGAAAATCAAGAAATTTTCCATCCATGTGCAGAAATCTGCTGCTACAAACAATGCATTAAAACACACCACATCCAGACAGGACAGATTTAAATATGTTTACGAGGGTTCTTCAGAAAGTTCTCAGCCTGGAAATAATCAGCATTACTCCCATTGTAGGGCATACCTGTTGACTATGAAGGCGTACATCACTGCCAGCTAAAATTCTGTTTGAAGCCATCAAAGCATCAAGGAACAGAAGCAGCTAAATGTGAAGCACCTAACTCACCTGTGCTGTGCATCATTGTCCTGGAGCAACAGATGGCCAGCTCTCAGCTCTGCTCCATGCAAAGTAATGACAGGAAGCATTGCAGCTCATGAGGACGGTGATGTAAGGCTTTAGACAATACAGTTAATCAGTCATAGTGTACAGACTGATGCTCCTTGTTTCCAGGTGAGGCTGAGAACTTTCTGAAAGTATCCTCATGTACACATACAAACATATATTTTATTTATCTTTGACTATGTTGCTGCAATGAAATCATGACTTCAGTCTCTGTCAACAGTTTGTCCTTTGGTCCATGTTGTCCTTGTAGACAGTCTGCTCCAGGATTCGCTCCAGATGCTCTGAGAAAACAGGATGAATGTTTGGTTCCTGACTGACACAGAGTGGAGAATAAAAAGCTGTTGGCTGAAGTCAGCAAGAGTAAAAGTTTGGTTTAATAGAACTAAGGAAGACAGACAAGCCTGCTACCCTGGGCTGCAGGATGAGGGTGGCGTCTCACTGCAGGGAGTCTTCAGGCTCTGAAGACACTGTGTTGGAGTGACGCTTCTTCAGATCAACACACGTCCGGTTTTCCACATGGTAGAGGTTTGACTGCTAACACTCCATCGATCCATCATCTCTACACCTTAATCCTCACTAGGGTCACAGGGGGGCGGAGTCTATCCCAGCTGACTCAGGGTGAAGGCAGGTTCACCTGGACAGGTAACCAGTCTATCACAGGGCTACACTTAGAGACAGACAACCAAGCACACTCACATTCACACCTACGGACAATTTACAATCACCAATTAACCTCAGCATGTTTCTGGACTGTGGGAGGAAGCCGGAGAACCTGGAGAGAACCCACGCTGCACGGAGAGAACATGGAGACTCCACGCAGAAAGACCCCGGGTGTCCTCACCGGGACGCCAACCGGCGACCTTCTAGCTGTGAGGCGACGATGCTAACCACCAAGACACCTGCAGCCCCTGTACTGTAAATCATTGTTTTGAATTATCCTCAGAAATTATTCAAATAAGAGACAGGATTTCTGATTTTCGGCTGCAAGGTGGCGCAGTTGGTAGCACTGTTGCCCCCCACCGGTTCGCGTCCCGGTGGGGGCACCGGAATCTTTCTGCGTGGAGTTTGCATGTTCTCCCCGTGCAGCGTGGGTTCTCTCCGGGTTCTCCGGCTTCCTCCCACAGTCCAGAAACATGTTGAGGTTAATTGGTGATTGTAAATTGTCTGTGGGTGTGAATGTGAGTGTGCTTGGTTGTCTGTCTCTGAGTGTGGCCCTGTGATGGACTGGCGACCTGTCCAGGGTGTCCCCTGCCTTCGCCCTGAGTCGGCTGGGATAGGCTCCAGCCCCCCCGCGACCCTAATGAGGATTGAGCGGTGTATAGAAAATGGATGGATGGATTTCTGATTTTCATGAGCTATACGCCAGAAAAGGTTTGAAACACTTTGATTTACTTGTAATGATTATAGAATATATGAACGTTTTCCTATTTGAATTAAATGACAAAAGAGGAACTTTTCCACAATGTTCTACATGCTGGAGATGCTGTAGTTCACATAAAACTACTGGAACACAGGATGGAGCTGCTCAGTGTGACGTCATGTCAGGACCTCTGTAATATCATCATGACATGTTGGAGTTATGTCAAACTGAAAACGTCTGCTTGCAGTCGTATGCCTCCGTTATGTGGACGAGCTTCAGTTCAGTTTATATCCACACTCTGTCCTGACCTAACAGTGGACATGTTGGATATGAACTTGATCATTTTATCCTGTCAGACGTGTGTGAGATGTTGTCATAACTGGTGAATCAATTCTTGAATTATGGTTAAAATCCTTTAACTTTGACCCCCATGATCAAATCAGTTCATTGTTGGGTCCAAGAGGACATCAGTGGCACTTCAGTTTTTGCTCTAAAATGTTTCTGGGGCTGACGTGGATCAACCTGAGATACTGTGAGAGGACAAGTGAACGTGTGGACAAGCCCAAAACACGTTGGCTGCTGGCAGTAAGGAGTCACAACATTGACTAACTCATAGTTTTATGAGGAAAAGACGTTAATATGGGAACAGTGATAGAACATCAGACTTCATGTGAAAACACCGGGTCGATTACATGTGCCTAAGTTCTCTGACAGTCGTACAGTTCTGTTCAGCTACTAGTTCTATGTGTTTGCAGTTTAATACAAGACAAATAAATAAAGTCTATCTCATAATATTACAACATGATAACTCTGGTGTTTCCTCCTGATACTCCCGCTGTCATAACATGACTTTATTTTCTCAATAATAAGAATCTTATTCTTTCTTCTACTTTCTTTTCGTCTAACATCACATGGTTTGTGTGACATCACATCTGTACTCTCATCGTCTCTCTAAACAAGACTGAATCATCATGTCTTTTAATACTACACAGGATATCCAGCTAGGACACTCAGACTGCTTCAGAACTACCCAACTAAGAGGATTCATTCTGAGATCAGATCGTTTCATCATGTGGGCCTGTCCTCGCTGACTTGAGATCTGCTCTCATGCCTGGTACCCTGACACTTCAGTGATTCCATCGATGTCTTCTCAGATGTGTCAGAGAGCAAGGAAATGTTTTAAACATGATCAAGGAACCTTAAACTAAGTGCAATGGAGAGTCCACAGGTCCCCGTTCTACCCTAATGACAGCAGGTGATGTCACACTGAAGCAGGAGAGGAGGAATCGTTCAGTGAGGCCAGCAGCTGTCATCCTCTCAGCCGTTTTTACAACAGGACGTTACCACAGAGTCCCATCCTACAGAGTGCTTCCTGTTCTGGACCGGCGCCGCTCCTCCACGGCACAGGCCTCCAAGCCATTAGGAGTCTTCTGCAGAGAAAGCTCTGTGTGTGTTGGGGAATCTCTGGGCGTTGTAGTCCGGATTGTCCCTCACTCGCTCTTTGATGTCGCTCTTTACCTGGAGGAGGACGCACACAGAGAGGATGAGAATTACCTTAAACCCAGTGGAGCAGACGGTCCTGACATGGAGCCACCAAACATCAGATCAAAGCCAGTTTATTGTCATCCTGCTGTACATACAGAGCAGTACAGGCAGGATGAGAGAGTGTTTCTTCAGGATCCAACAACGTAAAGCAATTTAAATAGAGAAGTGTTTGCATACCTGGATCAGATAAATAACCATGACTGTGACTGTGACTGTAACGACACTGTTTGCCTGCTTTGAATGCATTTTAAAACCAGTAATTCCTGAAGTGTGTGGAGTGATGGACTCTGACTCATAGAATCGTCACATTTACCATGCAGTATGTTTTAGGAAACTGCTGAGCCGTCGTAGTGTTGCTCAAGCCAATCACACGAGAGCTGCTGTTGCTGCTGGTTGTCACACTGCCCTCACTACTACTGCTATCACACCACTGAACAACCGGCAGCCAACATTTGAAACAAGACAACAATCAACAAGGCGACTGAAGAAGCTATCCCAATACGTTACCTGTTTAGTGTACGCTTCCTGCACGTCCGGCCTCTCCAGCTCCCCCTGCAGGCTGTTCGGGGTGGTGACAGGCAGAACTCCAGCAGCGCGAGCAGCTCGACTGACTGCGTCCGACAGGGACAGGTGTGGTCCTTCACACTGGCTGGTCTGAGGACAGAAACACTGCCGTCACACTCCTCCGTCTGACAGTTTGACATTTAAGGAAATACACAGGATTGCCTTCATGCACAGATTAGAGACAGAGATAGGACCGTTTAGCCTAGCTTAGCACCACTCACAGGTGAAAGCTGTTAGCTCGGCTCTGTCTTCCAACACATCTGTTCTGTCGAAGCTAACAAGCTGTTGTCCACAAGGGATGTTTGTGCTTTAGAGCGAGCCTGACAACAACGAGGCAGACTTCTCGCAGAACAAAGCCAGCAGATTCCCACAGCAATCAGCCACTTCAGAGAGACTAGACAGCTCTAAATAGCACCGCTCACCTTCCTCCTCTTGGCCGGCATCCCATGCAGGTAGGCATCAGACAGCGGCGGCTGGGCTTTGATCTTCCTCTGAGACAGCATGTCGTGTCTGATGATGGGAACCCATTCCTGAGTCCAAGACATTAGTGCACAGCCATGAACCAGTGAACTGATGGAGGCTTTGTGTGAAATGAGTAAAAACAGAAATGTGACTGTTGCTGAAATGTCAAAAAGATGGATGTCATGCTTCTAAAGTAGCTGAAGTATTGAGGCCTGACCAGCAGGCACTCATGAGGAGACTAGTAATGAAAGCCAGTTTCTGAGCAGACTGAGAAACTGATGCTCCACACCTGGAAGGATCATCACACTTACATGAGGTGGCCATACTGGTGACTGAGTATTTTAGAAAGACAAAACAGTTATTCCCGTAGATGAATCGTATCAGCTGGACCTGCTTGAGTTCCTTGAAGACGTTCCACCTCTCATCCAAGAGGCTTTATCAGCTCTGACTGACGAGCTGGGAGTTCCACATACTGATATCCTGAAGGAGCCATTAACACCTGAGTTTGGGTTTCAATTGGGGGTTTGTTGCTCCTCCCCCTCGCTATGTGAGTCGTTAGTGCTCCCCCTGACACCATGGGGTTCGTTAGGGTTCCCCAACTAGTCAGTCACAACTGATGAAGCCTCTTGGATGAGAGGCGGAACATCTTCAAGGAACTCAAGCAAGTTCAATTGCTACGATTAAATACCAGAAGAACCATGACCTGGAGGACTGAGAACCTTCAGACAAAACTGTTGATGTCATTTTGTGTATCTTATGTGTCACACACAAGAGTTGGAGAAATGTTTTTGTCTTGAAGTTGCTGGACTGTTCTTCACACTGATAACACGTCAACACTATCCAAGGACAGATGATGCCCAGCTCTCCTTTGATAAACATTTAGGTTTGAGGTGCAGTGAAGTTCTGGCCTGACTGATGGTATTATACTTGTTAAACAGTAAAATGAATCCTGACATGACACATCTCCTATACATGTTAATGTAAAGGCAAGATGTGAATCAAATACAGGACAACAGGAATGGACAGTTGGATGTTACAGACAGCTTGTTGTGTTTGCTGTGTTGATGTTATGTTGAATGCAGCATTTTAACTAATATAAACTAACATCAACCCACTGATGTCACGTTACTGTTTGTCGTTCATTTACTGTGTTTGGTTTTACTCTGCTGCCCTCTTGTGGTCCCTGGTGTGCCCTGCAGTCAGCTGTTTGATTCAGTTAAAGGCCAGGTCAGTTCAAACATTAACAACAGAGTCGTTCCTTTCCTGAGCTCTGTGAATACCAGAGCGCAGGACTACCATCAGCATTAGAACTGTAGTACTGCTGGGGGGAGAACCTCACTCCTTACAGGTGGAACAGCTGCTGCCCAAGGCTCCATCTCAGGGGCGGCCTCCTCCGGTCCTCTCAGGGTCCCAGCAGGACGTTGCGTGTCCCTAGATGAGATGGTGGTGTCTCCAGGAGGCGCTGCCCTCCTCCCAGCGTCACCCGATGAAGCCATGGCCTCCTCTGCTGTGGTGGCTGCAGCTGGAGACGAGCCGTCCTCCATCTGACAGAGGGTTGGAGTGATCACATGAGCCTCATTCTGAACACACTGATGAACATCATGATGATCATAAACTGTGCCGCACGAGCTGGTGAACCTAACAGAGAGAGGTCCGCTAACATCTGAAGTACTCAATGTTCCACCAATGTTCTTCTGTGTCCCACCTCATCTTCATGATCTGCGGGACTAACATTGTGATGTGACATAAAGAAGGAGCTAAAATCAGCATATTCCACAGCTGGAGCACACAGTGACAGTGACAATTAACTGGATTACATTTGAAATAAATCTGCCTTAATTGATTAATTGTGATGGGCAGCCTATCTCTGTCCCACCTCCCAAGTTTCCATGTTTACACGGCCCATGTGTTAGAAAACCTCCAGCTTTAACCATCTCAAACTGAAAGTCTGGTGATATTTTATATTTCTCTTCTAGTGAACACGGTAAACTACCAGTAAACATGTTCAGCTAACTCGTATGCTCCGTATCACCTGATCCTGCATGTCTCTATGCCATGGAGGTCCGTTCTTGATCAGAAACTAAGAAAACACATCTGTGAAGTCCACTGTTGTCTCCTTTCTGACCATAAATACACACTGCTCTTCATTTGGACTCAGTCTGACATCCTGTCCTGCCAGAAACACTCATTAAAGCACCAGATTCACAGTCCCCAGTGAATGAAATACTGGCTGCATAGAAGCTACACTGACCTGTACTCACAAGGTGTTCTTAGACATTTACGTCTTCAGGGGAACCGATGGGCATCGATGTGAGAGATATACACTCTGATCCAACCCAAATACCAACGATACTGTGCACATTTGAACCACACAACTGCTGCCACCCTCCTCTCAGCTCCGCCCAAGTCAGCTGTGATTGGTTTAAAATAATACAAACCAGCTAGATAATTTTAGTAGGAATGGGAAGGAGAAATGGTATAAAACAAACTCACCTGGACGCTGAGACTCTCTGATTGCACCTCAGCCTCCGTCCTCTGGTTCGACTCACCCTGAAACGGCATGCAGGTTTCCGATGACAATCTGGATCTCTTTGCAGAATCACAATATCACAATATATATATAATATGGCACAATATTCGAACCTTGGATTAAAGCTGACAGCGCTGTGCTGTGCTCAGGTTATGTGTGTGTTAATTAATAGTTTGATCCAGCTGACTGAAATTAGATTCTAACTTTCAAACAGAATCTTTAATCACATTCTTTTATAGTGCCTTGATTCTGTTTGTGTCACTTAGATGTGGTTCAGTAGATGCACTGCAGCGTGCTCACGGGCTGACTGTGTTCATTACATGCGTATAGATGATGTAGTTCTGGATTTGGTCCTCGGTCACTGGGTTGTGCTCCAGAATGACGTGCAGTCTGGTAGACATCATACTGGTCAGCCAGTTGACCAGACTGGGATTGACTTCTGCTGACATCCTCCTCTGCACAAACACACAGAATCACACAGTCACACAGCACTATTGGCTTTCATCACACAAGAGCAGCGTGATGCCGTGGTTATAGGTGATGTATACTAACGATGCGGTGGTTGATGACAGCGATCAGAGCTCTCTGTTCTCCTCCCAGGCAGTGCAGGTTCAGGGCCAGACACTCAAACAGGCCCTGAGTGCACATCAGCAGCAAACGAGGGCCAAACGTGTGGTCTGCAGGACGAAACATCACAAAACTACTCACATCTCTCTACCGTCACATCTTTGTGGTCTTACAGAACACGGCAGCACTGTGACAGTCCTGCTGCTCTGTTGGTCTACCAGTCTGACGCTACAGTGTTTTACTCTTGGAGGTAATTTAAAAGCTTTTATGCTCAGAACTGCAGAATCTGGGCCTTTAAAGTAGCTGAAGGACTTCACCCTCTGGTGTGAGACCACCTGCTGCTGGTTGACACTCCAGATGAACTTACCGTTGCAGCGCAGGATATGTGAGGCCATCTGAGTGAACTGCTGTCTGAGGAAAGACAGGTTGGTCTGAACGATGTCCACTCCCTCACGCACCGTCACTGTGGCCTGCAGACACAACACACACAGCTCTCATGTCCATCTACACACCGAGCACACGCTGCATTGGTTTAATGGTGACGTTTGGGTGTGACAGAGGTTGCGCTTACAAAACTCTCAGCGATGTACTCCTCCAGTCCGTTGATGAGATCCTCAGCAGCGGTCTGCAGAGAGGACATTATGTCTTTACTGTGAAACATCTCATCACACATGAACAGACCAGAAGCTTTGCTCCCATGCAGATGGTCAACAAGCAGGCGTCCCATCATGGTGCCACACATCAATCAATGAAGAATCTTCACTCTACTTACAGCGATGTTGGCATCAGTGGGCTCTCTGCCCTGTAGGTAGTGTTCAGTGAAGAAAGCAGTGAGCTGGGGCTGGATGCGGCTCAGAGGTTGGGCATTCCCATGAAGCAGCAGCACCATGTCCACCATGGAGAAGCTCTGACACACCAGGGACAGCAGGTCCCCGAAAAACCCTGCCGGGACGAGAGTCATTTATTCACTAGAATCTGTTGTTACTGTCTGTTAACGGGGAAAGAAAGCTTTTAATCCGCTGCTCCTCCACCTGGAACACTTTGTAAAAGGACCTGAACTTCTAGAGCTGGTCTCTTTAAACACTTTTAAAGTGCTTTTAAATGACTGGAGGCAGAAACATCAGGCTGTAGATGTTCTGAAAGACGATTATTTTGCTGGTTACGTCTCTGATCTCTGCTGATGTGTTGGTTTCTTATCTCCTGAATGTAATCTCACCGTATTATGAGTGTGATGTCTGTGTGGATGCTGCTGTGACCTCGTCTGTTTTTAATCTCACTGAGCCTTTAACTTTAAAGTTTGAGTTGACAAAGAAAGTTGAACCACCTTCATGATGCCTGTGATCTCTGACTGAAGCTTTCGTTTTTGTCGAGCCAGCTACATAAAGAAAGCCTGGATATGACAAACTGTCTTTGTCGTACAGCCTTCCGAGGAGGTGGTGGCCTTGACTACAGGCGGTTCCATGTTGGCAGAAAGAGAGCATTGTGGGAGTTTAGCGAGCAGCGGGCCACTGTGGTGATTAGAGGCTTCCAGCTCACATCAACTTCGTGTTCCTGTTGTCGAATGGCTGATGGAACCAAGCCATTCACGTGTTTATGGTTAAAACCTTGTATCAGCGTATGAAACAATGACCACTGTACTGATTCATATTAATTACTATTCATTTCTAATTCTGTCAACTATCTGTTCAGAAAATCGTCCCTATTCATCACAATAACAACAACCACCACAGTAATCAGCTCCATTTAGAGCTCGTTCTAAGAATATGTCGTCACTGTTTTACCTGATTCCATTATATTTCAATTAGAATAGTAACTGTGGGCTTAGCACTGATGAAAAGCTGCGTCTACAATCCTCCTCCAGCTGTAGGACTTACCCACGGCGTCTCCAGAGCCAGGAGCAAACAGGTTGCTGGTCTGAGACAGCCTCTGGATGAACTGAGCGATACTCTCTCCGTTGCCCTGCTGCGCCCCCAGAGCGCTCATCATGGTGGACAGCACTCCCTGCACGATGCCGGTGAACAGCTCCGGGCTCAGAGAGTTCCCACCCGGACTGCTGCCGGGCTGGGGCGGGGCAGGACCGGTGGACTGAGGCGGGACTGAGGCACCAGGGCCGGGAGCAGGGGCCTGGCCAGAAACAACACTTATTGCTCATTGGATGGTACAAACAGCAGCTATGGTGGCTCTGTACTTTCACATATCAAGTTAACCCTGCATCTGATCCTTTGACTCCTGGTTGTGCATTCAACCAACTGAAAAGAACAACAGCAGATGGCAGATCGGGCTGCTTCTGTGCTGGACTGTACGGTAACCAGGTACTTTTAAATGTGAAATCATGTTGTTCTAACTTTGTCAGTTTCATCCCGTTGCATTCGCTGCTGTAGATCTAACACACAGTAAACTCTGTTCCTGTGCCTGTGGTGCAGTAAAACACATATTTAGCTTTTCTGCAGACATTGTTGGTTGTTTTATTTCTTCCCTTTTCTTCCTTTTTACATAGCTGCTCTCGATCTCAAACATGAGCTGTTAATTTGTTTACCAGGTGATTCTTCATAAAGCAAGAGGTTCTGAGAAAATGAAGTACGGGGAGATAAAGTTGTGCAAAAGACATGAAAACCGTTGTTACTACATTCTGGTTTTCTGTATATAAACTCACAGGTGTGAAGTCTGACGGGCCCTGGAAGAAGCCCGGCACCCCCGGTAGCGTCACAGTGATGGAGGGAGCCAGTCCAGAATCAGGACCCCTCGGTCCAGCAGCTCCGCCCAGCAGGGAGGCCAAGAACTGAGCTACGTTTGCCTCCGGACTGCCCTCTGCTGGCTGGCTGATGGAGGTAGAGGTCGTGGTGTGGGTTGACGTCTGTCCAGAGGTGTTGGCGGAGGGAGGAGGAGGAGGAGGAGACAGGTTGGAGGAGTCGGATGAAGAGGAGGTAGAGTAGGAGGGCTGAGGGCGGGCCGAAGAGGACGAGGGATCACCTGCAGGATTTAGAACAACAGAACATTAATAAGGCCCGACCAGAACTGATTACAATATCTGAGAGTTTAAAAAAATCTATGAACTGATGAACATACAAGACATGTGACAATGTTATTCTGTGTAGATTTAATTTCTTGATTTAATAAATACAGGGAACTTGTATGTTTGCTATTAACCTACACTCAATAATCCATAATAACAAAATAAAGAATCATTCGATGATGAGTCAGTAAGAGTTGGCTCACAGACATAATCCTGGTTTTTATCTGTTACGGTGAAAACTATGAACACTGATGAATGTTTAAATGAGCTGACACTGACCTGGCTGCCCAGGCATCAGCAGCTGCCCAACCAGACCACTGATCATCTGGGTCAGCGAGGAGGGAGCCAGCGGTACACCCTGAGGGGAGAAGGAGGAAGACATGAACCAGCAGCTTTATGCTTCCTGCACAGCTGTCCATCCTGTACTAAGATGAGGCTACAGCTCAATCAAGCAATGAGTGCCTGTTTACTAATTAGAGGATCAAGAGAAATAAACTATTCAAGGTTAGACAAAACAAGGTGTTTGATGTCACATGACCTCGATTATTTCTATCTGTTAGATAATGAGACTGGGTTGAAGCCACAGACGTCTCCGCCCGCTCTGTGCCTGTATTACCTGTCCAGGCTGCGGGCCAGCTGTGGGCACCGTAGCCCTCAGGTTGATGGTTGTTCCCCTGGTTGCCATGGGCTGAGGGATGCGGGGGGAGAACGATGGTCTGGTGATGACCACCCTACCCTGGGCAGGGTGGGGCGCCTGTAAGGAAGCAGCTTCCTCAGCACTGGGCATCGAGTCAGGACCAGACATCATCTGTGCTGGGGGGCCTGCAGTAGCCATGGCAGCAGCTTGGTGAGATATCTGGTGCACAATGGCCTGCATGAACTCAGGGGGAAGTCCTGGGAAGAGAGTAGGTGTTGCTCCTGCATACAGACGAGAAGTTTGTCCTGAAAACATGTCTTTCAGAGTGTCCATATGAAGTTCTTCTTGCTCAAGTTGTTCAAAAAGCTAATATGATAGCAACAAGTTAGCCAATCACAGAGCACCACTCACCTGGTTGCCCAGGACCTGCAACGTTTGGCTGCCCTGGACCCTGAGAAGCAGCAGCTGACTCACCTGTTCAACACAACAACAGTAGAGATCCATTAGGTTTACAGTGAGAGTACAGGAGGCGTGGTGCTACAGTCACACAGACCAAACAGGGCTCCTACAAGTCAAAGTCCTTTTGACCGAAGTGACACGTCGGAGATCACTGCATCACCCCGTAGAGAGGAAATCTGGAAATCTGGCTTTTGCTTTTGTATGAAATCACCGAACCAATACACTGAAAGTATCTGATTGTCATAATTACGGTAATTCCATAGTTACATCTCTAAAGCTACCTAAACGTCACTGCTATCACTAGGTTTAGCTCTGACATACAGCCCACAGTCTGAGTGCCTCCTTTGGGCTAGCAAATATCGCCATCTGCTGGAAAAGAGTGCAACAGAACTCCGACATATTTCGCAAAAAAATAAATAAAATAAAATAAACCTGTTCTTGAATGCTAAGTCATAGACATCCTACTTGTTCATTAATCCCTTCGGGTCCTATTAATCACAGCTGCTGCTTGAGCCATAGCTGATGTTGGGAAAGTATTTTCCATTTCATTTTAATGGATGACACCTAATTCTCAATTCTTTATATTTATTTTTGTCTCAATGTATGCCCTAACATACATTTTTTTAGCATCCACAACATGATAATACGTCACGTTCTAGACCAATCACAGAAGTTTATGTGACCACAGCAATAACATGTACAGTCAGCTCGGTGACATCAGAGCAACACACGTACCATTAATGTTCATCTGCATCATGACTACAGGCTCCATGGTCTGGTGTGTGATCCGGATCACTCGGGGCGCTCCCTGTCCCTGATGGTGAGGGGTCCCGTTTGAATGAAGAGGCAGAGCCTGGCCTGTAGCCTGCTGGTTAGACTGGCCGATGCCCTGAGAGGGCTGGCGCTGCCCTTCAGCTGCTTGTCTGCCGTTAGACGTCACGGTTACCGTCGTCCCCAAGTTTATCTGGAAGAGAAAGAGAACACTGGCTTCAAGACTGACTCCATGTAATTCCAGGTATAATGGAAAATCTGAAATACACAGTGGCATGCAGAAGATCACACATTCTTCTCAACATGTTTAAGTCTGTGGTTGCTGAATTAACCTTTTAACTTCTAAACTCACATCTGAGTATCAAAGTTAGATATGTGCAATTATTCTTCCATGAAAATAATCCCAGACAACAGCTTCCATGAAGACATACTTCCAGAAGTGTTGACATGAACATCACTTTGGCTGTTGCTAAACTACAGATTTGCATGTGTGAGAAACTAGACAGATGTTTCCAAACATCAAGAAAAACCCACCAAGGAGCTGCCAAACCCTATTTTAAATTATATTGGATGAGCAACATATACATCCATGGAATTCTGAGCATATCTAGCTGCATGAAAGTTATTCTATCGTCTTCTATTCTATCTTTTGAAGCCATCATGTTTCTCCACAGCAGACAGAAGCAATGATTTATTCTGCTCAGGAGATCAGGAAGGTGTGAACCTACTGGGATGGGCATGTGCTGCAAACCAGCCTGAAGCAGGACCGGGTGGGTGTAGTGGGCAACAGGGCGAACCACGTATAGGTGACGCGGGGGAGGAGTGGCCAGGTTGCAGCGCAGGTCGCCAAGGACGACCAGAGTGTTTCCTAGGAGACGCACAGCATCTCCGACCAGGTTGAGAACGCGCTGGTCCTCCTCTCTCTCCTGCATCTGTGGATAAATACACCAAGTTATTAATCTAATAGTTTGTTAGCGACCCGTCAAAAGAAAGAAAAAAAGGAACAGACAGAAAAGAAAACACACTAATGTGTCTACAAACACAGAGAAGACACTGTGGAGTCATTCAGGCAGTAGTGACACATCCACAGCGTCACACAAAGGACTGTACCAGGGCAACACAGCTCATAACATCACATTAGCTCAATACATCTGACATTTAGCAGCAACTTATTCTCCACTGACAGTAATACTCTAAATGGATTTTTATTCTTATATATATATGTATAGCCCTCCAGACGAGGGCTGACAAATGGTCATAAAAGTTTGTGCACACCTACTCGCGCAGCATCACTTTTTAATGTCTGTATATGTTTAAAATGTCTGACAAGCATGTGCACAGCTATTACAGAGCCCACACTGTTGATATACACGTCTACTGTGCTCAGGATAGTCTAACCACACTGCTCAGAAGCTGCCTGTAGGAGTCATAGTTAGCGCCACTTAGTACTTTACTGTGGTTGTCCTGGTCAGGTTAGTGTCGATGGTGCTAAACTAATTTCTCTTGGTCTCATCTATACTAAGCTGAAAGCTTCATCCTCTAGATGTTTTGACAACCAGGGGTTTTTCCTTGATTCCATCCACAGAGGTTGATGTTATTATTCTCTGAGCTGTGCCAAGTCAACAGCACTCGCCTTATTCACAGCTAGATGTGCAAACAGCTCGCTCTCTGTGGGAGGACGATCACCGCCGCTCTGATTAATGGTGCTGTGCCTCGTTCCATACCTCCTGATTACTGCTGCAGCCCTGTTTCCACTCAGTTTTAATTCGATTGACTGATCTTCTCGTTTACTTTTCCACCTTCACACAATCAGATTGTTCAGTTCCTCCGGCGATTCTTTTCCATGTGGAGCCACGATGCAGACACGCAGACGGTCATTCTGCTGTCCACAGCTCATTTCAAAACCACGGTAACGCAGTTAGGCTGATCAGAAATCACAGCTGTACTCAATGCAGTTACAGTGATCGCCGGTACATTCAATTTTGTGCACTGAGTGCATTGGGGCCTATATTCTTTCTTAGTTCTTTCCTTAGTCTTTCTAAAGCAGGGATCTCCAGCTCTGGTCCTGGTGAGCTGCTGTCCTGCAGGTTTTAGACTCTAAAACCTGCAGGACAGCAGCTGCAGTATGGAAACGTCTAAAATTTAGACGTTTCCATACTGCAGCACACCCGACTAACATTAATGGATCTCCAGCAGCTTGTTGTCAAGTTCTGCACAAGTCTGTTAATGATCCATTAATGTTAGTCAGGTGTGCTGCAGACGTTTAAAACCTGCAGGAAAGCAGCTCATGAGGACCAGAGCTGGAGATCCCTGCTCTAAAGTGTTTGTTGTTGATTGTTGATAAGAGGAAATACTCTCCTGTTCAACTTAGACATAACACAATTATTGACAGATGATGTAACGTGGAGTCATTTCACATTTAGGTGAACATCTGTTGCACACTGCAGAGGCATTGTAAGGGTTACCTGTTATATGAGGACCCACTGACATCAGATATTTCCAGCACATTGTGTATATAACAGCAATAAAAGGTGCAGGAGAATGTTTTGTTCTGTTTTATAGGGACAACCTTAAAGTAAGTAAAAGGCAGCTCTTCTTTGGTTGTTTCATAAGCAGTGTTAAATGTTGTTATAATCTCCTCACTGCCTCGACGTACTGCTGCAGCTCGAACACTGCATGGAGGGGAGCTGCCCTGCTGGCCGCACACCTGTCACCGCACAGGACATGCTCACTGTACTTAAAACATGGATACTCCAGAAGCAAATGTTCCCAGCAATGTTTTGGTCTAACGTTTGCAATAGTTCTATCTCAGCGCTACCCTCAGGTTAAATGTGTGCTGGTGGTGGTGGCTGGCACAGCGTGGCTGATGTGCATGTAGAGACGTGTGCAGTTTAAAGGGGAAGAGCTTAACTCTGGTTGTTTTCTGAATCTACAGTTTAGCGACGTTCTTGAACACCTCACACATCAGTGGACGCTCAGAGCAGTGTCCTCCCTCTGCTTAGGTCTCAGCCTGTCTCCTTGTCCTCTCCCCCTCCTCGTCTCCTGTGGATCGGCTGTGAGTGGGTGTGTTGACTTCACTCATGACAGGATTGTTGATTTTGGTGCAGTCGGTCGTTTTTCCAGTCATCTACACCTTCTGTAGTCTTCCACAGTAACTGCGCTAACTCATGTTTGCTTTTACCGGAGCTGCCTGCTACCTGCTGCTATGTCTGTGTAAACGACAAGCGGGGGAGCATTCTGACATTCCAGGCTGATTTCTGACGGCATCATTGTCGGAATAAACTATTGTTTGTAAAATAAAAACGTTTAAACAACTAAATAACTATTTTTAAATGCAGGCTATTTTATCAGCTCTACCTGCAGAAACAACATGCCGTACAGTTTAGCTCTAACACAGTATAGATGTAGTAATCAGGAACCAGAACATGAAGTGAAACCAAACTGAGAGGCAGTCTGTTCAGAGCACACATTGTTACAATTATTATCATCTCTAATCAGTATACAGACAACAGTGATGATGGTTTTCCTGCTGAACTACAGAAACGTTTGCTGCCTGAGCATCAGTGGGCACGTCTTTGCTCCTTAACAGTTTCCTGAGAGGTCCTGCTGTGATGTTTTGTTGTTATCGTTGTTGTGCTGCCCCCTTACATTGTTGTTGTAGTCGGCTGAGGTGGCAGCTCCGAGGATCGAGTGGGTCCTCTCTATGAAGGGACGTAACCGCTCCTCCACCCTCCTGACCTCAGAGAGGACCTCCACAAACTCAGCTGGACTTGGGTGGCTGAGGACAAAACAGTGGACAACAGGAGTCAGTGCTGCAGAGACCCTGCTGACTCCGAACTAAGTTTCTGGGACCCCTGTGGTCAGTCTTCAGCTAAGAAACATGGATCCAGTGCGACTTGATGACATCAGTGTTAGAAACCGATTGTTTCTGACTGTTACTGGGCAGGCCACATCTGGAGATGTAGATGCTTCAACTTTCTGACAATACAGAATATCTGTTCAGCAAGTTGAAGGCTCACAAACTTCCTCCTTTTCCCACTAATTCAATGTGTCTGACTCAGTCTGTCAAAAGCCAGCAGCCCTCACAAAAACACATGAAATCAGGGCTTTTACCTTCCACAGAGGACTTTTTCACCAGTTATGTTAACTCATTTTTTAGAGCACAATAAAAAACATTTAAAAACATTTTTGTATATCAAATGGTCAGAAATAACAGGAAAAAGGCCCAGGACAAATAAATAAGCTACCACAGACTTCTAGTGTACAGGGACTGAGCTTACTGACGTGTCGCCGCCCCAAAAAGGCCCGTTCTGAACCAGGTGATTCCTGATACCAGGCGTTACTGGCACGATGCAATCCACAACTCTGACTTACTTGAGCCCAGCATTGGCTGGTCTCTCAGTCTGGGTGGAAGTGGAAGATGATGTCGCAGGAGGAGAGCTTATGTCCATGGGTTGCGATGCTACAGCTCCTCCAGCAGAGGAGGAGGATGGTGGTGGGGAAGAAGAAGACGGAGGTTCCTCTACCTCTGAATGGGAGCTGCTGTCGCTGGACACACCCTGCAGCACAGAACACTTGACTGTCCATACAAGTACACACCCAGTACCTGAGCCAGTACTGCCAGAGTTATTGGATATTTTTAGAATAAAACAGGTGATGATAGAGTCAATAAAGTCCCAAAATGTATGAAAAAAACTAACGAACAATTAATTTATTGAGGATAAAGACAGCATAGAAAACAAAGAAGAAGGAAAGAAATGATTTCAGAATCAGGTCCCAACTGTTAAAGAAATCCTATCTGAAGACGGTCACATTTCTAACGTATGCATCACGATTGGACTGTATAGATTGGATTTCAGTGGTTTGTAGGTTCTAGACAGTCTAGTTTCCCATGCAGAGGACTGGATGCCTATCTGGTCCAGTCTGTTTACTGGGCAGCAGAACAGGTGAAGGCACTTTGAATTTGAACTGAACTTGAATCCTTTTCCAACGTCTACTGCTAAAACTAATGCTTGTATTCTGGAATCTGCTTTCTGTTTAGAGCTCCTTGTGCTGCAGCTGCTGTCTCAAACCCTCTTTCTATGTGACTAACAGATGATGTAGCTCATTTCAGTTTATTTCCACATCTTACAATGGACAATATTAAGGTGTTTATCAACGTGACTGGTGAGACCTACAGTTTAATGTCATCTGCATCAGACTTTCTCTTCCCTGATAACTGCACAATTAACAAATATATTCCAAAAATATTACGACTATTTGTTGTAAAATCCTGGCCTTTTTGGTCAGGACTTCTCATGATTATTATCAGTGGTGTAACTCTTAAAAAAAATATTTCCAAGTTATGTCACTGCTGTCATGTTGTAAATAACAACCTACATATCAAAAACAAATGTACCTCCAGCCTTTGAATTAGAGCGCAAGCATCTCTGAGCAGGTTCTCAGCCAGCTGCAGCCTCATCCTGGGCTCGCTCTGCATCGACTGGTCCAGGTTGATCTGCACGTCCACCAAGCTGTTGCTCTGCACACACACATATGTGTACAGGAAAAGTGAGACAAAGAGGCTGAAACAGACTCATTAAGCTGTTGGTGAATGACGAGCCTTTACCCCCGAGCCAGAGCTGACCCTCGCACTGGTTCCAGCATCACTTACTCCAGACATCATCTGCTGCACTGACATCTACAAAACAAATTACAGCTGTCAGAAAAGTATTAAACTGTCCTTTCCTTCAGTAAAACGGAGTGAGGTTTTTAGTTTGCATGCAGCCAGCTCATTCCGACCTGTATCTGCTGTGGATCCATGATGTTGACTGGCAGGTTGAAGGTCCCCAACATTACGTAGCTGTTGCCATTACGATCATGTGGTGCACCTTGGGATGTGGTGTGGCTGCTGCTGGTTCCAGCCTCTGCCCCCCTGGTGGGAGCACCCACACCCCCAGAGCAGGACATGGCGGCCTGAGGTGGAGCACGCTCCACCAGGTGGATCACCTTGCCATCTACGTCTAAAGGAAAAAGAAAGGAACAATGTAGAAACAGAGCACACTCAGGTGTCATCGGCGGACCCCAGCTTATGTGAGCACTGCTGCATAACTCCTGTCTCGATTGTAGAGCATCGATCGCATGTGTCGGCTCGTTCCCTGTATCTCTGACAAACACCCAGCGATGAGCCCATCACTGCCAGTGTCAGGGACGTGGGGAAAGAATCTGACGAAGCAAGTCATTGTATTCAACACTGGACTCACTTTTCCTCAAGTCCGATCTCTGAAAATACAAATTCACAATGCTGACACATTGTTCTGATCTGTTCAATCTGATGAACCATTCATGTCTATAGATCTAATATCAAACCCTTCCAGTTGCAACCAGGATCTTCAGCAGGTGTGTCTAGGAGGCCCTACACCTGTCTCAAGCAGCAGATCTCTATGCTACGCCAGCAGGGCCCTACACACATCAAAAACCTGACTTTATGGTGTGGTAGATAGTGTGGACAAACGTCACCAGCATCTTGCTCTGTGTTGCGGAGGAAACGTGGTCTCATGCAGGCATGCATGCACCTCACAGGGCTTCAGTAAAACTGTCCTTCCTCGGGGACTGCTGATGATGTTCAGCGCTGGGTGATCCCCTGTTAAAGCGTGCACCACCAGTGTCCTACTGGGAACAGTGATTACGAGGAGAACCTTAACAGATGGTTCGCTGCTAGGTTGAGGGAGTTGGTTTGTGTGAAGGGCAGCGAACGGCACCTGGCCCCCAAGGCTCCTACGTGCTCATGTGCAATGTGTTGTGGAAATTCTGTAAGAGGTTGATGTCGGATGAAGAATCCGACACAGAGAGACACACCAGAGACTCAGATGACTCAGGTTGAAATGAGGTTTACTGATGCATCAGGAGAAGTGACGCTAACAGAGCGTCACGCCAGCATCAGCTCAAAAGATCCCTCTCACATCTCTAGTCTTATATCCTCCCTCAGTGGGAGCCACGTCCAGATTTATGGGTGAAAGGGAAACAAAGATAAGTCGGCGCCTGGGTATCATCTGGCCTTGGGAGGTGCAGGCTGTCCTCCTACAATAAGGTCAAGAATGTATAGAAAAGCTACAGAGCGCACATCTGCTCCAAGCACTACGTTTACCTCAGGAGGTCAGTCAGGGGTCAACATCTTCTCTAAAAGATTAACTCCAAATAAGGAAATGAATTTTTCCTTCACAGATCACTCCTCTTTGATCGTAAGATCAACCCAACAAAAAAACACTAATTAAAGGGAAAATTACTAATAATCAATGAGTCCTTATAATCGTCCCTGTATCACCGAATACAATTGTACAGTGTCACATTCTCCAATGAAATACAAATACAAAGAGTGATATAAGACATATAAGTCAGTATAAGAATAAAATATAAATCATGCAACAGACCGTGAGCCCCAAAAGTTCATGCAGGTAGGAAACCCAGCGGGAAAACTCTCAGATGTTAAAGATCCAAAATACAGGGTGGTGATCACAGGGATCTGCATCACAGCTCATCAGCCTGATCATCTAAGAGCTTCTCAGAGACACAACCTGCACATCATCACATTTCTTTATCACATTTCTGTAGTTGTTTTGTTTTTTTACTCACAAACACTTTCTGCCGCTTCTGAGAAATTGTCATGTCTATACATATGAGACAGAAGATGCACATATAGGGGTATGGATCCATAAAAGAACGATCACACAGATGTGTGTGTAACTGTGTATCCCCAATGATGCTGCTCTGCTGTAAACCTCGGTGTGTGTGGATGGTGTACTCCAGGTTATCAGGTGTCATGTACTCACTGTATTCAGTCAGCGTCCTGTCATCCTGCAGCACTCTGCCCTGATAGATGAGCCTCTGCTTGTCCACTGGGATCTCCACTGAGGATGCTATGTGCTCCTTAAACTGCTTCACAGTCAGCTGAGGGACACACAACACACACAAGTTGTCAGTGAGCAGGGAGGAGAAGCAGAGAGGGAGCTGGAGCACTGTGTGCATCTGGGAGCATTACCTCGCTTCTGACCGTGTAGCTCCTGCTCTGTGAGTCCAGAGTCTTCACTGTCACTTCGATCTCACTGCTCGACTCAGTCATGATTCTGAATAATTACAGAGCTGTGAATTGAGCCAGTTATTGTTTAATGTTGTGCATTCAGGTTTACCTCTACTATTGGAAGCAGTGCAGGAACCCAGCTGCAGCTATTTCATCAACCATTCACCTTTATCCGCCATCAAACTAATGACTGTGGTGAATATTTAGGCTGCAGCTGGACACGGACAGCCCGCTGCCTTGTTGTTGTTGTTGTTATTAGCTTGTTAGCCAGCTAGCTAATGTTAGCTAATCCCAATTACCGACAGGGAAATAGTCCAAACCCGGAAACCTTCCTTTGGGGAACCGTTGTCCGCCTTTAGTGGAAAACCAGCTGGAGGTCTTGCTTTTGAGCTAAAAGCTGCTAAATTGAATTTCTAAATAAGAAATTGCTATTCAGTTTCCGCGCATCCAGACTGGTGCCTGAGCTCGCTAGCACGGCAGTAGATGCTACAGTGTAGGACCCCGGTGACGTACCACCGGGGGCGTCTATGTCGTGCCTGAGCGCCTTTTTCTCATTCCTCAACTGTTCTCAGCGGACAGCTCATCGATAAAAAGAGTTCAGCGTTTTTTACTCATGCTAATTATGTCTAATTTCATCTAAGCATAGGATGACATACCTAAAATAAATCTTGTTTTCATTATAATTTTTAGTGGTGGCAGAAGACGCCGTTGTAGTGAGAACTTATTGTGAAGCTGGAATAGATTGTGTTTTCTTTAACAGAGTATTTTCAGCACACAGACGGACTAAACGCTGTCGTCTCACGTAAACTGTGGAAAGTATCAGTGAATTTTCCACGCGCGTGTGTGTGAGTGAGTGAGTGTGTGCGTGCGTGCGTGCGTGTGTGTGTGTGTGTGTGTGTGTGCGCGTGTGTATGTGGTTAAGAAGTAGGCTGGTTGTGTGACGGACAAGTTGAGGCAGAGAAAAGACGTGAAGGTGTGGCAGAGATCATGAGGAGGAGTCCTGTCTGTGCCATTCAAGTGTCACGAGAAGAACCTGGAAGAAAGTTCTCCCGACGACCGTCCTGCTGCTCGGAGCCTTTCTCCTGACTGTCGGAGGAATCAGACCCGAACCAGGAACTGATCTGGAGCAGCAGTACTGGCTCAGATTTTGCTTTCTTTTGGGGACTTCAAACTTGCATTGCTGGGTCCGGAACCTTCAGTCTGTGGACATTTCGCCCATAAAATCTGGATTTGCCTCATAAACCAGCATGGATAACGCGTGAAGGCGACTGAACGAGCAGGTAAGCGCACGCTGGCGTCCACTGGTCTCTGACACCTTACTGGATCCAGGTGTCAGTCCAGTGCTGGTTTCCCAGAGCTGAGTCGAGCAAAGGTCTGCCAGGGCTGGATGTCAGGAGTTCACGTCCACATGCGTGAAACGGCGCAGTGGCAGCGTTTCACTGTAAGCTGGCAGTTCTACTGATAAGCCCAGTGGACATGTCTCCTTCACTTATCTGTCAGTAGGTTTTTATTGAAGCTCAGTTCCACCAGGAAGCCAGAGCAAACACTAGCAATGACAAAAATGAACAAATTAAAAATACAAAAGTTGTTGAATTTTAAATACGATATGAAGAGACTGAAGTGAAACTGAGATGCTAAAGATAAATAGATAAATGACATTTCACATAATTACGGTGTGATTTGAATTACTATACATGATTCATTGACTTGCATGTTTATAGATTGTTTTCAGCAGAAAAGGAAAAAAAACAGTGATTAAAACTTAAAGACCGTGGACATGTTGTTCCAGTTCTTATTTTCTGGGTTTAAAAAATGGATGATGTCTACTGTCATGAATAAACTCAACATCTTGACTTGAAAAGTGGAATGAAAACAGGGAAACTGGGATTATATGATGGGCATCATAGAATTAGTCCAGATTTAGCTGAAACCAAGTTTTAACTTTAAAGCCTGAAGCATGACAAAGAAGTTAAAGTGTCATCTGTTTTTTCCTCAGCAAAACTGGGCTTCCCTGGTTATTGGTTACAAACACGTTTTGAATGAGAAAAAACTCATGCTCCTCTAGATCTATGGTATCTTCCACATTAAAGTGTAATGTGTGTATGCTTGTGGTTCAGCTCGTTGGGAGAGAATCTCTAAATTATATCTCTTGAAACAACTAAACTTCTACAATTGAAGCAAGATTCTTATAAAAATGTCTTTGCGTGTGCATAAATGAAGCGAGGTTAAAATGCATTTTTCAGCATCAGTAGAATCAGTCGTGTGAAATTCTCTCCATGACCCATTTCTTATGATGGTCCAGTCTTATGGCCTCTCCTAACCCCAGAGTTTCCTCCTCAGGATGCTTCTCAGCAGCTCTGAGCTCTTCTTAAACCTCATCACTGGTCTTTACTTGTCTTCTTGCTTTTTTACAGTACCATCTTTCCCACCTTTTCTGTCACTTCTGGAACAACTACCATGCGTAGATTCAGCTCTGAGGGCTCCCTCCTGGATCTTGACTTCCTTCCGTGGAGGAAGGTGGCATTTAGGAGCCCAGATTATGGAACAAAACGGGAGTCTGGCGTCTACACCCCTCACTCGGAGGGCGATGAGCTGGATGGGATTGTACGTGGTCTGGCTCCCACCATCCAGGAGCCCAGCATCAGTCCCAGCAAGGCGGGGAGGAACGAGCTGACCAAGGAACACAGCATCAGCGCGGAGAACCTGAGCGATCTGGAGAAACTAGACAAGAACCACCTCAGAGTCGGTGTCATCAAAGAAGGCTGCAGGGCCTACAGTGACAGCCAGCTGGCACCGGACCCCCAGGGCAGCTCTGAGAACCTGGAGAGAGACGACCTGCCTCCCCCGTCTCCTTCATCCACCGCCAACCCCTTCTCCTTTAAATCCCAGCACCGGCACCAGCATCGAGCCAAACTGTCAGCTGCTAAACTGCACCTCAGGAGTCTGTTTGGGCAGGTGGGAACGACTGTAAATCAGCATGTAATCAGGCTCTTAAGAACTCCTATCCCTAATGTAGATGATCCATGTTGAATGTTTGACAGTTATGGTTTTACTTTGGTGCCTTCTGCAGGGGTTCTGGATTTCTGAGCCTTATCAGTTTTTATTTTATTTGAAGAGACTGGAACCTGTTTGAGGGACGTGATGAGTGAGATAAGGATGTGATCTGCTGTTAATGTGAAGCATTGATTATGAATGCTCTCACTGAAGTGGTCCAGCTTAACTCGACCAGCATGTTTAACTATTTATGCCAACGCAGACATAATGTCCTGCAGATGGATGAATGGATTGCGTAATCGTGCAGCTCAGTGTGGTGTTCTGATTTCATAAAGACGAATGCGAAGAAAATCTCTGCTGTTTCTGTTTCAGAGTCCTCATTCCTCAAATTCCAACCTGTCTAACGCAGAACAGAAAGACAGGTAAGAGCCCCGTTTGATTTCTGTTGCTAACTCATTGATGGATTTCTCCCATAAAGCAAAACACTCACGTTTGTCTTCAACACACTCACTGTTGTTGGACAAACACAGGATGTCTTAACATTCAATCCATGGTTGTAAAAGTTGAGCTGATAATGCTAACTCTGATCCTCGTAAGCCTGCTGTGAAGCTCCGCCTTGTTCTGATGCTTGTTCTGAAGACGGCAGTATCTGTAAGTACGATCTGCTCTGACTGATACATGCTGCCTTTCTCTCTCCTTGTCTGGTCCTGGGCCACAGTGCGACAGAGAGAAGGTCTCGCCTGCTCTTCATGCGTCAGTGGAGTCAGGTGGGCCACAGCAAGAAGAGGAAGATCGATCGAGACGAGCTGGAAAAATGGGCCGAGTCTTTGAATGCCCTGCTGGCCAGTCCCAGTAAGTCCTGCTCTGTTTGGAGGGTGGAGTTCATACTAGCAGCTGAAAATGCTTTAGAGCAGGGGTCTCCAACTCAACTGACCCGGGGGCTGCTGGAGGTAGAGTCTGGGTGAGGCTGGACCACATCACGTATTCCAAAAAAAGTACAACTGATCCAATCTTCTTAATCTTTATTTTTAACAATTCAGAACATGAAAGGCTCTTCAGAGCGTAGGTTTCTCTTACCAGAGACCTGGCAGCCTTCCTCCTACTCAGCTGAGCCACATTTGGCTGGAGTGAGGAAACAACTGAGACTCTCAGTGTGGCCTGAAGATGCTCATCAGTAAGTTTGGGCCTGTAGTGTGACTTATTAAAGCTCATGGTGGAGAAGAGCTTTTCACAAAGATAGAAAACATGCATTTGCTCTGGGTGACAGGATGTATGTTCCCTCCACTCAGTGATGCTCCTGAGTCACGTCTCAAGTGACCAGCATTGATAATTCATGTTGCTGTCACGAGCCTGAGCTAAGGTAGCCCACAGGTGATAAAAATATGAAACGCCCAGGACAACGACTCACGCAGGTGTGTGTGAGAAAAACACGCGGTCACGTTAAACTGTGATGTCAAGTAGGGGCCACAAAATATCGCCTCAATTGGGCCACGGGCCGCAAGTTTGAGACCCCAGTTTTCGGGTAATTTAATAACTTATTTTCCATATAAATCACCAAATAAATTCAACGACAGGGGCAGGAGGTGTGAACCCCCTTTTAGCCTTGTTATTGGTGGGGCCTGAGGCTGATAGGTCCATCTGTCAGTGTGTCACAGTGGAAGGCTGCTCATGAGAAGGTTGCTATGAAACTGGTTTTGCCCATTTCTACTGAACATATATGACAACATAAAGTGTGTTTACTGTGGTTGGACTGAAGACATGATGCATCTTCAGTAGGCACATGTCCATGAGGAGAAGAGCACGGTCAGATCCCCTGGAGTCCAGCTAGTGGAGCACAACCAGTAGATGGAAGATGATGCTTTACAGTTGAGTTGAGGACTGAGTGGTTTGAGGAATGTGTGCAGAACAATGTCAGACATCAGGAATGGATGAAAGGAATTTTCACAGCATGGGACGGAGTAGATTGATGCTGAGAAAGGAAAGAGTTCCTGTTAGAAGGGACAGAAACGACAGAACGTTTGCTAGAGCTGAAGTTATGGTACAATGCATGAATCCCAATATTTTGGTGACCCCCAGACGGTTCCACCACCACGCCAGAGGAAGTACTGAAGTGCCTTGAAGTGACACATGTTGTGAACTGGTGCTAGATAGATAACTGAGTTGAGTTGAATTAAAGAGCACTTTTCTGGAGTCCTTGCATCAGGACAATCTGACAGGTTTAGTTCACCCAAAGAGGCTCAGAGGTTGTTTGATGGAGCTCAGGTGCTGCAATGTAGAATAAACATCAATGTCAATAATTCAGGTGGTAGACTTTATCTGTGGTGCAGCGCTGTCATTTGTTCATATCTTAGTATTTTATGGCCCTCATTGCCAAGTCAAACCAAGACAGCAGCAAAACCATTTGTGCATCTTGGCAAAGGTGGTGGTGATGGAAGTTTGTAGCGTTGTGAGTTCCTGTGCTCTCCCCTGCCAACCAGACAACAAGTTAACGGTTTGATTCAGCAAAACATGATCTAGTTCTGACTCATGAGTAGCTATGGATAGTGCAACTCTGCTGATATGAACTTCAAACATGTCAGCCTTGTCAGGATCGTTAACAACACACTTCATGTATCCGAGTTCACAGAAGTTTTGGATTTACTCTGCACTGTGAACACATCCAAGACTTCTAGGTTTCAGACAACCCAGTAGCTCAGTGGTTTGGGCACATGGGTCCAAACGCCTTCTAACAGCAACTCTGCCAATCAGCCAGCCAGAACCTTTCCTGCATGTCCTTACACGCTCTCTTTGCCCACTTTGCTGTCTCACCAGCATCCTGAGAGAAGTGTGAAAGCAGCAGAGACAAGAGCCAACACTTGTAGCCAAACTGTCCGAATAGAATCAGAACAAAAACAGGATGTACGGGTTAGTGAGTCGGACCTTAGGCCTTGAGTCAAAGTGACCGGCTCTGTATCCAGGCAACCATATACACAATTAGTCATGTGATCACAAGTCCAGCTAAGTTTATGGGGAGAACTGCATTGGATTATGATTGTACCCCATAAGATGGTCGACTGATCGTCTACAGCTCTGTGATATTAAGTAAGGATGCAGAGGTTTGCTGCATCGTACCAGTGAGTACATGAACAAGTGAAGTGATGTGATTCTCACTCCAAGCACATCAGCTGATGGCAGAACAGGTTGCAAGTAGGAGTCACTGAGCTGATCCACTCATTGTGCTGTAATGCTGTGTAGATGTTTGGAGATAGGAACTGCATTCAGCATGTCTGTGTGAGGCCCTGAGGATAGTTATGATGCTGTTTTCTTCTCTTCTTTTCCCTTTCACTCGAGGTTCTGATCTGAACTCTTCACACTGACATTTTAGGAGCTGTCCACTTCTGCTTCGGAGAGATATTTGTGCAACAACAAGTCACATCTGTCTCGGGTTCCTCCTGCCTTTTTCTAAACTCACATGTTTGTGCAGTGATACTGGCATGTGAGCCGTCGCTGCTCGCTGTGTGTGGTGCAATAAAGCCAGAGGAGCAGCACTTCCCCTGACCCCGCTGTGACTGTTAATAGAACAAACACCAAGGCGGCTATAAATCACTGCTTTAGCAGCGATTGTCTAAATGTCTCTGCAGCCTGAGAATATCTGACCAGTCTGATACGGCAAGGATTAGGGCTGCAGAAGTGTGTGATTAGGAAACCTGCACAGGTACATTCCTTCAACGTGTCGGTGTTTCCCGGTAGTATTGTCTCTATTGTTGTATTCTAGCATCCTCCAGCGCCTAATGACATGTTTGTGTTCAGCAAAAGTAGGGCAGGCCCTGACGAAACCCACTGATCACACAGACAGAATCCTCTGACATGGTTATGTCCTTGTTGACGTCAGTTCCGTCATCATGACGAGTACGACTTATTCTGAGGAGCTCCGGTGGCATCGCTCAGGGATTCAGCCGAGCTAAAAGGCTTCAGGACACTGCTCAGCTTTTTTGAGGCACTTGTCTTTGGTAGTAAAACAAATGTGCCGTATATTTGTTCAGGCACAAAAGTCAGCGATTCGAGTAAAAAGGAGATGTAGCCTGGTAGTAAAACACTGTCTGTTCAGGTTTATTCGGTCTGTAAGACGTCAGTCATGGGAGCTTTTATAAACGGATTAATTTCTACAATCAGTATGAACACCGTAGATCCGTCATTGATCTCCCTGGAGCAGCACCGGGCCTCCAGTCATAGCTCTTACTGCCACTGAAGCTTTCTAACCAATCAACCAGATTACTTCTGAGGGGGTTTCTGAAGCTTTTTGATCATCTGGCAGCGCTCAGTGGAAGAATGCTGACCTTTAGTGCTCATTCATCTCTTTGGCTTGTTAGCATGCTAACATGTGTTTACTAAACAAGAACAAACTGCTTGATCCAGTCACACGGCAGCACTTGAATGTTCTGAACAGCGCACTCGTGTTTTTTTATTTGTAGCAGATAGAACGTGTTCTGCCTTCTTTCCAAGGTTACATGATGAATCTGAACTTTACTTCCTCAGATCCTCTGTCCCTGTTGTATTGTGTCCTTTGTTTATGGGGGTGGGTTTCTATCCACTGTTATTATGGTTTATTTTATTCCCTTTGTGCTCCATTTTATTTGTATAAAACTTCCTATACAAACTAATTTCAATTACTTGATTTGTTTTTTGACACAAACACCTTTTCTGCCGGACCCTACTGTAAAAGTATAGATTTTATTTGACTGTTTATTGAAGCTCCAGGGCGTCTCTAAGGGATGTGACTCTGCTGTGACCGTGCTACACAGAGCTGGCATCAGGCTGACCTCAGCACTCTGGGCCTTCTTATCAGTGCCATGCTAATTTAGAGCGCTGTCCTCTGCAGCTGACCTGTGTGAACCGTATAGTGTTGTGCATGTGGCATCAGCAGTTTGAGGCTTTCTTCTGTACAGAGCAGTCAGACTAAAAATAAGTCTAAAAGGAAAACAGCTTGAGCAGAGATGACGTGTGCTGAGCTTTTACAACGAATGTGTGGATCTGGGTTGCGTTTGGCGTTTCCTTATTAGGCCTGAGGGATGGCTGTGTCAGTGCTCTGGGTGTCCTCTTCTTGTAATGTGCGTAATGTGATGTTGCACGGTGAGGTAAGCCATGTTTGTTTCTCTCCTCCCCTGTCAGCTGGTGTTTCGGTGTTTGGAGCATTCCTACGCTCTGAGTTCAGCGAGGAGAATCTGCAGTTCTATCTGGCCTGTGAGCAGTACAGACACTCGTCCAACAACTTCAGCCTGCAGAGGAGGGCCAAAGACATCTGCGCTACCTTCATCCAACCAGGCTCGTCCCGGGAGGTACACACCTACGTTTATCTTCACTCTCACCACTTGTACAAAAACTATTTCATGAAACAGGAGGTCCTTCTTCCCTCCCAGTGCATGCTCAGTTGTACTGTTGCTCAAAGTATGTCTGTTCTTTGGAACTTTTGTCAGTGGTTCAACTTTGACCTTCTAGCATTTCATCAATAGCTGCGTTCTCCACTAACAACATGCAACAGATAATATGAAACAGGATGAGCAAGATGTGCTGATGGACAGCTGCAGGAGAACGTCTCCTGTTTCCTTTAAAGCTCTCAAAAAGCTGTGATGTACATTTACAGTGCCAGTAAAAAGTATTTGGAATTCTTATTTTTTGCATATTTTCCCCACTTTAATGTTTAAGACCAAACAAATGTAAATATCAGACAAAGATAAACCAAGTAAACACATAAATATTGTCTACCCAAAGCTACCTGCCCTGTGTGATAAACTAACTGCCCCTGAACCTAACACCTGGTCGGGCCGCCCTCAGCAGCAACAGCTGAAATCCAGCGTTTTCTACCCCTGCAGTCTTTCACATCTCTCTGGAGATATGTTGGCCCACTCTTCTTTGCAGAACTGTTTTAGTTCAGCACCACTGGAGGGTTTTCCAGCATGACTGGCCTTTTTAAGGTCATGCTGCAGCATTTCAGTCAGATTCAGGTCCAGACTTTGACTCGGCTGCTCCAGAACCTTCATTTAGTTTCTTTAAGCCATTCAGAAGTGGACCTGCTGCTATGTTCTGGATCGTTGTCCTGCTGCAGAACCCAAGTAGCTTCAGCTTGAGGTCATGAACCGATGGCTGAACATTCTCCTTCAGGACTTTCTGGTAGCGAGCAGAACTCATGGTTCCATCAGTCACAGCAAGTCGTCCTGAAGCAGCAGAGCAGCCCCAGACCACCACACCACCACCAGGTGAACCTGCCTTCACCCTGAGTCAGCTGGGATAGACTCCAGCCCCCCGCGACCCTCGTGAGGATTAAGCGGTGTATAAACAATGGATGGATGACACAAAGCAGAAAACTCTCATCAAAGGTCCATCATTTTGCTCATAGAGGACCGCTGGGTTTAATATTGCACCCATAAGAAGTGTACTTTGTTAATGACTTGACAGTCGGATCAGAATCGACCCGTTCATCTCACTGAAATATATTTTGATTTACCTGAAGACTTTCTAGTAGTTTTTTTAATTTATCCTCCTGCTTATTGCCAAACTGTATTCTTTAGCCTTTTATTGTTTAAGCAATGCGTGACCTGACCTCTTAGTGAGCGCTGTGCCATCGCTGTGTCGTCTTGTTGCAGGTGAACCTGGACAGTAAGACCAGAGATCTGACCATCCAGCTGCTGCAGGCTCCCTCTCACACCTCGCTGTCCCACGCACAGAAACGCATCTACTCACTGCTGGACACAGACTGTTACCCACGGTTCCTGCAGTCCAACATCTACCTCTCCTTACTCGGAGAGGCTGACTAGAAGTCACGCCGGGACTCTGGAGGAGCAACCGTGTCTCCAGGACTTACAGAACTTCCTAAACATGGTGGATCATGAAGATCTACTATATCTTCAAAAGACAGCGCTGCTTTGTAGAAAGTGTGTGTAAGAACATGTTGATGCTTGGTGGCATGCCAACGGTGTCTGTAGGAATGTAAGACTCAATATCCAGCCTGGTTATCACTACACAGGATTGTACGCTGAACTTAGAGATGTAGTCTGTTAAAGCTACTCACCAAAATACAAACTATTTAAAGAATAAATAATCAAATAACAATAAAACTATTTTGTGGTTAAGTGTGGGAGATGAATGCAGTATCTCAAAGCCTGAAGAAGACAACTGCTTCAAAGAGACACCAGTGTTTGGCCTGCAGGATGGCAGCAGGTTGGTGGTACCTGAGTGTCTCACTGATGCTCAGTAGATGGGTACTGATGACCTTCTGGCTGGTTTTACTCACTGATGCGGAGCCTTCTTGTCCTGGACCGTGCACATCCCATACCAGTCTGTCATGTTTCCTGTTCGGATCAATTCCTCCCGCTCAATCAACAATAGTGTTCTGACAGAGTTGAGTTCAGGGGAGATGGCGTCCTCTGGATCTACTGCTTTCTTGTTGAGCCGGCTCAACCAAACCTAAAGCATCAACCACAGACACTGTGCATCATGACAGTGGGCATCAACAGCCTGTAACACAGGTCTTCTTCTTCAGCCCACATCAAAAGGGGGCATTTAGCACATGATGGGACTCTTGTTCTACACGATGTGCTCTGTCTACTTTATTCAAGAGCAAATGATGCAGGAGAGGAACGCTGGTAGAAAACTGTTCATCCTGTGAGTTAGTATGTTTAATTTACCCCTTAGTGCAGCCTCCGTTTAGGTGATCATTTGTTTGTTTGTAAAGCGCTACATTAAACGTGTGTATTATTAATTTCTAACCTGACAGCTGCAAATGAGCGCTCTTAAACTTGTTCGTTAATTTAAACATGACACTCAGCCTTTGGGTCTGACACTGGAAAACGTGGAAATCACTTCAGTTTTCAGTCAAATCAAACAAACGAGCTCACTTCCTGCCACATTAGCGCCTGACAACGTGGTGAAACACATACAAGGCTGTTTTCCCTCCGCTGCTTTACGTGAGCTTAGAAAACATGCAGCTTGTGTTTAAGTCATTAAACCGTGTCCCTGTGAGCAGCTGACGTCTCCACGGTCCAGTGAGCTCGGGCTGAGCTGCCGCTGTTGGCTGGAAGGAAAAACAAGTTCAGCAAGAATGAGCTCTTTGCTGGAAAAGTCAAAGTACTGTGAGTTACTCCCACAGCAGGATGAGAAACCTGAATAAATGTACTGTGACGGGCAAAATGACTTCCTGTTAGTCTGCCTCAAAACACTGGGTTCATACATCAACTGAAGAAACCTCCTGGACTGAACATGTTCAGTGGGATTTCCCTGAATGTTGCTCCTATACAAATGGAAACGCCCTCAGATGTTTGGACAGAATCTTTTACAGCAACTGAACACTGGAAATGTGTGACAGAGTTTGAGAACTTTAGAGAAAGAAACAAAATCCTGATCAAGCAGAGACGGACGTCAGTGTTTGGCAGCGCAGCCTGAACAACCCGGTTAGCTGGTTCATGCCCGAGACAAAGAGGGCCATGTGCTATGGACCAGGTTAGCTGGTTCATGCCCGAGACACAGAGGTCCATGTGCTGTGGACCAGACGGTCAGGCTGCACTGGCTGTGAGTGGTTCTAGACTGAACTCATTCGCTGATTTCTACTTACTGTTGGCACGTTTTCAAGGCAAGTTGTTTTTGGTGTGTTTGATTCAATGTTTTGTTGAACAGAAATGTGTTCTATGATATCCTCTGCACAACAGGGAGCTCAGGGTCCACATCAACTGATCATGTTGAGTTTCCACCTCCCGCCCTGGTCTGGTTGTGGATCACAGCTCCAGCAGATGAAGGAAAAGTAACTCAGACATCCTTTATCTAAGCTATTTCCTCCAGCTCCTCTGTGAGTGATCCCAAGGATTATGCCATTATCAGTATGATGACAATGACATTAACGATGATATGATCATCAAATGCTCATTAAATCTACAAAACAGCTAATACATTGAACCTAAGACTATCTGCTACGTGAGAGCTGTGCCAGACTCAGGTATCATACTCCACTAGTCTACCCAGTCCAGTCACACACGGCAGGGCCCAGGCAGTCACTGTTTGGGGTGTTTGGTTTCTTCCCACCGTTGCCAACTACTTCCTCAGAGGGAGTCCAAAGGCTGCTCTGGATTGTTGGGTTCTCTGTTTAAACTTGTAAAGTCTATACCTGACTGTGTTAAGCGCTGTGAGATGACAGATGCTGTAAACTGCACTATACAAATAAAATGAAATTGTTCAGCAAACAGGTGACTAGAGAGACAGAACCATCCATCCATTTTCTATACACCGCTTAATCCTCATTAGGGTCGCGGGGAGGCTGGAGCCTATCCCAGCCGACTTAGGGCGAAGGCAGGGGACACCCTGGACAGGTCGCCAGTCCATCGCAGGGCCACACTTAGAGACAGACAACCAAGCACACTCACATTCACACCTATGGACAATTTAGAATCACCAATTAACCTCAACATGTTTTTGGACTGTGTGGGAGGAAGCCGGAGAACCCGGAGAGAACCCACGCTGCACGGGCAGAACATGCAAACTCCACGCAGAAAGATTCCGGTGCCCCCACCGGGACGCGAACCGGCAACCTCCTTGCTGCGAGGCAACAGTGCTACCAACTGCGCCACCTTGCAGGAGACAGAACCATATGGGTAAAATTGGATTCATGCTACAGCACAGTGAGGATGTGTACCGGGATGAAGGAGGGCAGGTTTGGATCCAACCACTGACTGAACCCTACGCTAAAACATGACAGGACGCTCTGCAGCGCTCTGGGTGGGAACCTGATGATGGAAGACAAGACTTCTTCATGACCTTCCATAGATGAGAAAACATTTCACTCTTACCTCGTTTGTCAGTTTCTCTCTGGGATTAAAGTGTTTCTGTCTTTTCCTTTAAGATAATGTGTGTTCTGGTGGTTGCCCTCAGCAGCCTAATGCTTACCACGGCTCTATATATTCCAGTAAATCTGTACTGCATCAGTCCATCAGCTCATCAAGTCATCCGGAGTAAACAGAGCAGGACTACCACAGTATGACCTTCCTCACGGATATAACACACACTGTATTATTAGACTATTAGATAAGCACAATGCACAGCTAATGTGACGCGTAGCCGCTTCCTCCTTTGACTAGTTAATACAGAATAAATCCCAGACTCACTGTTTTTTCTGACTCGACTCAAGGAAGTGACTCCAGAAGGGACTCTGGTATGAACACACAGATGCTGACGTCTGATAAGCAGCAGCTTCTCGTGCTTTACAAGTCAAGCTGCAGGGTCAGTTCATGTGGAATACAAACAGAAATACCTCCTCACCTAACCCAGTACTGCACTCCCAATCCAGACAGGTTCTGGATCTGTCTTGGCTGTGTGAGTGCATGTTCCTTCAGATGGTGGGAAGCCAGATGCATCATCAGGAAATGCTGCAGGAAAAACTGCTCATCAATAATTCAGCCTTCTGCTCACCAGAGGCTGATGTGATTGTGTTTATGCTCATGTTATGTCAAATTCTGTCTTTCCATCTTTTCCAGATTTCAGATGGAAGCTGTAATGTGATTACTGCGACTCCATCAGTCCACCTCTGTTGGAGATGTTCTGAGAAATGACGGGTCCTACAGAATCCTGAGCTGATTTTTACATGAACCACATTAAATGTTTAAGTCAGATGGACAGTAAACAGGAATCAGCTGGTGTGTGTGGAATAACCTGCCGCTCTTTGGTGCAACTTCCTGTTTTCCAGGATCTCTACCATAGAGGTGAAAAGTGCAACGTTCACCGTAGTGACCCACAGAAACACAGCAGTCACATTAATGGGAATACAGCAAGTTGAAGTCGCTGCATCAGGTGTTGTTATATATTATATATATTAAATGCAGTGTTCATTTGTCTGTGCCTCTCTTTGTTAACCTCAATAACTAAAACCAGGTGAGCTCAGGCTGTTAAAAAGAGAAAATAAGAACACTACAGGGAATAAGAACAGTGACGGCAGAACTTTAGTCAAACTTGTTTTGACAAAACAAAATCTGCAGTTTAGATGTTTGTGGACGGTTTGAGGCTGCTGTTATCTGATGGCTACTGGAGTCAGGAAGCTCCCTATTTGGCTTTTAGCAGCAGTTTGTTCCACCAGATAAGAAACTGGTAGACATCTGAATGACTCATCATGGACAGCAGCCAAGACAGACATTACAATAGCTCCCTTTCAAACCAGAAGGACTGGGAGAGCTGAACTTAGTCTGAATGTGAAGAGTTCTTGGCACCCCACCAGGAAACCTCCGTATCGGATCACTGCTTCTTCAGCACACAGTCGTCTGAAAGCAACAACTGAGTATCTACATGTTGGCCATCAGCTGGTCACCAGGGCCTGGTGCTCCTGTGTTCCTGCTTCTGCTTCACCCACTGAGCTGTGCAGCAGTTCTCCGCTACAGTCCACGACCAGCCTGGTCTGTGTCTGTCACGCTCCTTCTCCAGCTCAGGTTTGCGGCTGCCTCCTGCTGGATGCTGCACACGGTCCAACATCTCGGCCTCCTCCTCAGCACCACAGGCTTCAGAACGTGTACCAGGATGCATGTCTGTGCTGTCTGTGGAGGTCAGGCTGCAGACGCCTTCCTTCTTGGATGCACACAGCAGTGACGGTGAGGGAGGAGGGCTCCTGTGTGAGCAGCATGACGGTGAAGGACAGAGGATTGGAGAGCAGTGATGAAGGCAGAGAGTCAAACAGACGGAGAGCTAAGAAGTCACTCTGATAGGATTATGTGCAGACACATGTGACTGAAACACACTCCCTGCCCTGGTCGGTGGGATCATTCATTCAGTTTATTGTCAAATATCAACGGAGAACAATTTATTTCAGCTTCTTCTTTTTTTAAAGAAAATCACATTTCAGGTGAAAAGTCAGAAGTGTACGTAGACTTTGTCAGCATTTGGTAGCCTTGTCTTTAAAGTGTTTAGCTCAGGTCAAGTGCCTTCATCAAGCCTCTCACATGGAGGTGCTGTAGTTGTGGCCCACTCCTGCTGACAGCACTGCTAGAACTGGGTCAGGTTTCTGATGCTCACACACTCCTCAGACTGAGGTCAGGGCTACGCAATGGCTGGTGCAACACCTTCACTTGGCTGTTTTTAAGTTATTTTACCACAATTTTGGAAGTATGCTTGAGACCACTGTCCGTTTAGGATAAGCTTTACCTTCCTGGCTGATGTTTTCAGATGTTGCTTCAATAATGTCATATACGTACATATCCATATGGAGATTCATTACATCTGGGGTATCATCTCTATCAGACCTTTATTATTATCTCTTCGTTCTTTTTAGCCCTGTTGCACTTTAGTAATTCTTTGTCCTGGTTCCTTCATGCCTCATCTGTTCCAGCTGCTGTGATGTTAATGTCCCTGGTGAGGGATCAATAAAGTTTATCTTATCTTGATTACCTTCTTCGTGCTGCCACAGGATAATGTAAAGATGGAACTATAATGTTTGGACCCACTGGGCCTCACAGCCTCGCCTCTTTTCCTTCATTCATAACCCTGGGAATAACCCTGGGATGTGGGGACGTTGAAGGCTGGGTCAGCAGTAAACAGTAACTGAGCAGTGTGGTTCTGAGGTGTTTATACCTGTATGGGTCATCCAGCCTCATCTCACCACATGGCCCACGCCTGACCAGCTCAATCTGACAGATGTGTTTAAAGTGGTAAATACTGATTGAGTTGGTCTTGAGGTAACATCTGCTTAGAGTTCAGAATATGGGGTCATGTCCATTTTTGTTTTCATTTGCGCCATTCTGTGGAGCAACGTTTGAAGTGCCACAACCTGACACATAATGCAGCTACAGTCCTGTAGATTTACAGGGTCACTGATACATACATGTGGTCTTCAATGGTACCGCCCTGCTCAGACGGAATAATACAAACACATTCTATGGTGGTTAAATTTGGCCCCAAAATGTCAATGTTTCTGTCTGTGTGGATATTTGACCAACCATAAAACCTTCTATCAAAGCAGGGCTGTGCCACTGAAGACCACATGTACATACTGAAGAGACTCCAGCAACATTATTCCTCAAGTTCTGGCACTTCAAATGTTGCTCCACAGAAACTAATGCACTCTTTATTATCAGCTGTTCATGAGTCTGAACTCTTCCTCTGCACCAGCCCCCTCTCTCCCTCCTCCTTTAGTTTTTAGAATAATCAGCAACAGATCACACGACTTGTTTCGAGCATCAGCGACAGATGGACCGAGCCACGCCAGTCGAAGGGCCACCAACACAGATCATCACACACTGGCACTGTGAAATCTGAAATTTCACCCTGTCAGACAATTGCAACCATTTTGGTTCCAGTCTGGAGTCCTGATGAATATATATGTTTCATAAATCCAGACCTGAGAGTCACTGGTTCAGTCACACATGCCTACACGAGGCACTAAACCGCCTCCTAGTTTGTTTCCATGCTTGTTAACCTCCCTTACAGTAAAGAGTGAAACTACTGCTGTAGTTGAAGTACCTGATTTGTGTTCTGTGAATTCTGGCCAACCTGTGAGTGTCTGTGTGTCCCAGTACATATGACTGATGTCCCACTGCTCTCAGACCTGAGGAGGCACAAGGCACTAACACATGAGGAGGGCTACAGTGGCTGTACTGGCCCTAACTCTCACATCTGTCTGTTCACTCAGAGTGTTTTAAATGGCTCTAGATTCTTATCACCAATCAACAACAATCTGAGTTTTTAAATTTGACATTTCTCATAAAAAAAAAAACACCTTCACATTAGTTAAATGTTCCAACTGGAGGCTCCATTAGAATAATATCAGACCGTGATGACTCATTATTGAACAAGAAGTTCACACTGTAATTAATCTGTCCATTCATTTAAAAACTTTTTCCAACAGCTGTAATGTTTATGTTGTAGGAAGCTAGCAGTCTCAGAAAAGGCAAATGTCTGCCATACATTGTACAACTACTCGTTACTGGACTCACTGTCCACAAGCAACCACGTCTGATGAAGACTGACGATGTGGTTGAAAGCTCTGGCGAAGCTTGTGAAGTTTTCAGGATTATTTTGTCACACTAACAGAGCTCAGTAAATCCAAAATGACGTGGTTAGTCCACGTTCCATATAAGAGTCTAACAAAGGCTTCTGATCAACATCTTCACACAACCTTACCTGGTAAGGGTCGGTCTAGCAGTCCAGCAGCTCTGCCGTCCATATGCCGGCTGTACAGACTGCGTCTAGCAGCCAGACCCTGATGGCTGCAAGAGAGACGGCAACAGCCAGCAAGAAGGATGAAACCAAAAGGATGCAGAGCAGGGAGGATAGAGGGAGGACATGAGGGATGGAAGCCAAAGGATAGTCAGATAAGAACAGAAAGAAAAAAAGGAACACAGGATAAAAACAACAGATTTACAACTCAAAATATAACAAACAGAAAAAATGCACACATGCAGTATCGATAAAATCAAATGAAACAAATATGAAGAATGGGAAAACAAGTTCAGCCTCCCCTAATACCAATCTGTCTGTTCATGTGTGTGGCGGTTACATGACAAAAGGCAGCCTCTCTCACATGTGTGGTTTTGTGGCAGATAGTTTAATGGGTTCTAAAAAAGGCAAGCAGATAAGACAGGCCATCATTCTCCCCTCAGCTGGATGGATAACAACAACTACAAGTCCAAAGGGAGCTCGTCAGTCTCTCCTTTCTCCAGAAATAGGCCGTCTATCGAGCTAAGACACCACAGCTACTCCTTTAACGAACAGCGGTGCCAGTCAGAGGTTGGTCAATGGAAGCCCAGCTGAGATCTATTAAGAGAACTGTCCATGTGTGACCAGACAACGGTGGCAGTGAGAGGAGAAGACAATCAAAGGTTAATCAAAGGGGCAAAAGAAGATGAGTGGAGTGGAATGGGTGGTGAAAGAATGAAGGAGGAGGGAAAGAGACAGAAAGAGGCAGTGTTTAGTCAAGAAGAACCAGTAACCAGAAGAGAGGGACGTCTCTGTGCTGGACACAATAATCTGGCACCAGCACCAGCGTTCTGTACACTACAGTACCATGCACACTTCTGTGAGCACCACTGTGTCACTGCAACATCCTATTTAGAACTACAAGTAGGTTCATGTAGTGTACCTACTTGTCGTTCACTGCAGGCATGCGTCTCATGCAGCTCAGGAACAAATGACTTGAGGGAACCAGCGCGAGCACTTCAATGTCAGTGTCAGCACCAAAACCTTCTCAGTAAAACAGCTCACCGAGTGTCTCCTGGTTTGGGAACTGTTTCACCTTTCTGTAGTTTGCTATGCACAAGAAACAACCACACAAAGGATATGCTGGTGGTCTGGTTCAGGGGACGGTGGCATCTGTCATAAATCATAAATCCTACTGAATCTGGTGACTCCCTAACTACCCATGTCTGACCAGGTCAATAAGCCCTGAGGGGGTGGGTTCATGGACCCGGCTACACAACAACCACCAGTGAGGGACGCTGTAAGAAGTAAAGGGAGGAAGTGAAGATATCATTGGTCAGCGTCTGTGCTTCTAGTTGGGAACTTCTGACAGAGTTGTTTCATACAGATCAGAGACGGAGCACAGATCTAAGAGCAGACGTTTGTTCTGAATGCAAGACACTGCACTCCAAGTGAAGCATGTCTGAGTATGGACAAACAGTTCTGAGCAGAAGCCATTTAGGAGACAGGTTAGGGTCTGGGACATAGACTGTATAAGAACGACCAATCGCTGCTCTCTGGCTCCGCCCCCCTCCAAAGTTTTTTGCGTCACTGGCTCCAAAAATCCGAGATGTCCACCAGGAAGTAGCAGAACCCTGGCTTCATTTTCTCAGTGCAGAAACCAACAGGTGACGTTACGGTCGCTACGTCCATCTTTCTGATACAGTCTATGGTTTAGGACCACGTTATTGATTAAAGACTGGACAGTAACTCCACCAGAATCCTTTAGAACATCTCCAAAACAAGACTGATGGGCAACGCAAAAACAGTGATAACTTCAATAATCACTAACAAGTATAAGTTGCCCTTAACATGGAGACGGGACCGGCAAGGAAGCAAGTCATACTGTGGACTTGTCTTCACATCAGACTGGTGTGGAACGGAGCTCTGTTATTGGTCAAGCAGTGCAGTAGCGTCCACACAAGCTAAGTTTTCCCGAGTATTTTTGAAGCAACTTGTACAGCGACAAGAGCTTTCAGCGAGGTCTGAAATAAAAGTACAGATGATGCCGCCGCCATGCATGGACATGAATGCATACAGGTCATGGAGAAGCACTTAGCTGTCTGCAAATACTAGCAAGGTGCTGGTCAACAACTCACAGCAGGCGAGATGTTTTTCACTGTCATGCAGCAAATGAAGAAATAAAACCTCCTAAGTGGCTTTTCCAATACTGGCTATGTGTCCAGTAATGTGCATGTAGCTGTAAGTTCATGTTTGTAGTAATGGATTACTGCAGGTAGTAATAATACACTTGATACACCAGAAGAAAATATTGTTTGCTCTGAAGGAAAGGATGTTTGGACTTTTGCAGAAAATACAAAACGCTGGGTTCATCCTAAACACGACGGCTTATTGCCACTGATCTCACAGTAAACACTCTCATTCTGTGTCCTTGTAGAACAGAATGCAGGTTAATAAGTCTGTGTCCGACCACAGCAGCGTGTCAGATGATGTGAATCATTATTGAGGTTACGGCTGTTGTGTCAGCTCCATAAACGGCTCACAGGCCTCCCTCAGTACGGCTCCTGCTGCTGTGTGATGCTGTTAGAATTTAGCTTTTAGATTAAGTCAAAGAAAAACCACATCCTGCATTCAGTGTGAAACATCTCACAGCTGGTTTCACAATGCAAACGGTTGTTGACTATGAACAGGTGCAGACAGACATGCAGACAGACACAGATTGCATCTAGTGGTCAGACGAACAGGTAGGCTGTGTTTCAGTTCTTACCTGCTGCGTCTTTCCCTGCAGCGATCTATGAGAGGCGACTGTGGGTTCTGGTTCCTGCTGCCCCCAGGGGAAGAAGGCAGGACGGCTTGGGGCGGCGCCCTGCTGGGGGAGGACCTCATGCTGAGGGACTGGGAGCACTGGGAGTATACCGACCGCTGGGGGGAGTGAGGAGGAGCAAACGGCCACGGGCGGGTCCTCTGCTCCTGACGCACCGCTGGACAGAACAAACCAAAAGTCATTCTGTTTAGCTGATTAGCAGTAAAGGAAGAGTTCATTTCCAAAAACAAATAACTCCATCTTTACAAACCTTCAGAAAACCCACTGTTCCATCATCTACCTGAAACTTACGTTCTCTGTTTTTGTCATCTCTACTGAGTCAGATCCACTCAGCTTCAGTTTGACTGATTTTATGTCCAGCTAACAACAAAAAAAATATCTTTTCTGAAAATCTACATAAATGGAGTTATCTGTTTTTGCAAATTAACTCTTCAATTACCAGAAATGTTTAATGACACACTTTTAAAAGACCAAGAAAGAAAAGATTTATTCCGAGTGCCTATAGAAAAGTATTCACATTCAACACAGGTACAGCAATTAGTGCTACGATTTACACAACCAGTGAAACTGAGATCATCAGAGAGCATCTGAGGTGACTGTATTATACAGACGTCTGTATCTGGAAGGTCCAGTCACTTGGAATCGTACACCTGATGTAACTACTAACGTTATTGAAAAGCATAAATCGGGGGAAGGACACAGGAACATTTCTAAGCTAGAAGATGTTCCTTGGAGTAAAGTTAAATCCATCATTAAGACTTGAAAGGAACATGGCATATGTGTAAATCTGCCCACAGTGAGCTCTCCTCCAACACAGAGGAGCCTCGATAAACATTAAATAAAGTTTTGAGCGGAACTGACCTCACATCTACATTATTCAAAAACATTGCAGAGCTACCAACCAGTCGGTGTGTTTTTATAGTTTTACAGCGTGCTAGTGTTCAGGGGGAGGCTTCAGCGTGTCATCGAGCTGCATTTCTAAACAGTTTAACTTCACAGTTTTGTTCTATACAGACCTTCACATGTTCAGCGATAACTTTTGACATAATCAGAAACACTACGAGCTGTGAACTGCCCTCACACAGCCAAAGGAAGCGACGGTTTACCTTCTCTCTCCATTAAAGAGTACGGCTTGATCTCTCCGTCTGGCTTTTTGGGGGGAACCTTTCGCAATTGGGCCGCTGTGGAGGAGAACACACTCAGAGCAGGGACAGAAGCAGAACATCACAGGGTCTCCGTCCCTCCCTCAGCCCAACATTTAGTCCGTTCTAAACTTGCTGGCATGCTTTGTGTCCTCTTGTCCCCTTCAGAAGGAAAGCTTACTCCAGTACAGACTTAGTCTGAGCGATCACCTTTGTTCTATGATGACATGTTCCTATCATGATGGCAGTGGGCTCTTGAAGAACCCCCCAGCCGTAGGGCACAAGGGCTCACTGAGGATGAACACTATGTGAATCATATGCTACGGCTGTTGCAGTCACCAGATCTCAACACAACCGAACATGTTTGGAAGATTTTAATAGTTTGTGTTAGCACCAGAAACACAAAATGAGAGAAGAATGTAGTTCCATCCCTTCACTAGAGCTCCAGAGCCTGTTCTGTCTGCATGTGGTGTCCCATGACCTCACTAAGGCACCTGGACAGTCTGGTCACCCGTCTGGATATGTAAACAGTGCTTCTTGTCGCAGCAACATCATCTGGAGGTGACGTTGGAAACTAGTTGTGGAAGTTTAAAGGGAGGATCATGCTGGTGTCATACGCCCCGTCTGAAGCTTACGGTGCTGTGAAGAAACATTTCCTCCTTCCTGATGTTGTCTATTGTTGCATATTTCTCACATTTTAATGTTCCAGATCATTGAACTAATAGTTAATATGAGACAGGCGTATCATACAAAAAACAGGCCTGAAAGCTGTCACCAAATGCTATTTCCTGTTAAAAACTTTTTCATAACGTAGCAGGTAAACAGTGCTGTATTCACCAACTTTAACTGATGTTGTATGTTGAACAAACCCTGTCCGGACGTGGCTCACAGAGCAGGCAGGTGTGTCAGTCAGCTGGTTTTAGGCTCTACTGGTTGTGGTTCTGTGGATACAACAGTCCTCTGACATGCTGTTTATCACGTCAGCATGTGACGTGATAAACATCGCATGACTGTAACTATATAGGTAGATAAATACGAGTGAGGGGTTGGAAACGAAGGACAGAAACTGGCTAATAAATGAAGAGAAAGAAAATCAGTGGGACTAAAGGCATCATACACTAACATGGAGGTCTTAATGGGACAAAGGAAAGGGGTACGATGCTGGAGATGTATGAGGGGGAAAAAAAGAGATAGAAGAGTCCTTACAAAAAGCCGTACATCCCCTGATCCGTCAGAGGAGAGGAGGGTGAGCCTGGGAGAGTTTGGTGGAAAAAAAAATTTGGAACTGGAATAAGAGCAGAACAGCACTCTTCTGGGTTGAGTGACCCACTGAAGCTTATTGATCTCTAATGAGGATGATCAGTTTCTTCCACATAGACAGATGTAACAGAAAACACAGATCTGTTGTGAAGCCAAAAAGCAAAAAGCACACTTTAATGCTGTCACATGCAAAATGTTATGTAACTGAACTGATAACATGAACCTATAAAAGCATTCAGTACTGGTGCAGAGATACCAGGTACGCTAACCAAGCACAGGCTCAGCCAGTAAGCATGTTACAGTGCCCACCGGCCACACCTCATAGCTCAAGTTACCGCAGAGAAGAAAAACAATTGCATAAGCCCGTTCACAGCAACAGCAACCAAAGCAATAAGAGTGGTAGAGCAGAGTAGTGGAAGAAACCAACCTGATCGGTTCAGGAAGAAGCCCTCAAACACCACAAAGTTATTGACCTGCACAGAAAAACGATAAAAACAAGATGACTGTAAGCGCTCATAATTAGTAACCGTTTGTGTTCAGCTTAATTCATGCTACCTAGGAATGATTTCCTAGAATGCACCTGATCTTTGTTAGCTCTCTAGATTATGACATCCAGGTCTGTAGTTCAAGACCTACTGTATAATAACACCACTGCTGCTAGTTATGTAGGGAATTATAAAATCATCCTCTGCTGTTGTGATCACAGTCAAATGTAAAAATCTGTGTACTTCATGGCAGCAAGGCAGGCTGTGTTACTTCTTGTTATTCAAAGTCTTTGTAGGTTGTATTTAGAAGATCTCAAACATTTTATGTAATTGTGGTTGTAAACAGTTTAGAATATTTTCCAAATAATTTGTTGACTTGGACATCAGAAGTCATGAAAATGAAAATTTGCTTCACCAGGGAGTGTAGTATGGAGCAGTTACTGACACTTATTTATAATCCATCCATCATCTCTACACCTTAATCCTCAATAGGGTCATGGGGGCGGAGTCTATCCCAGCTGACTCAGGGTGAAGGCAGGTTCACCTGGACAGGTAACCAGTCTATCACAGGGCTACACTTAGAGACAGACAACCAAGCACACTCACATTCACACCTACGGACAATTTAGAATCACCAATTAACCTCAGCATGTTTCTGGACTGTGGGAGGAAGCCGGAGAACCCGAAGAGAACCCACGCTGCACAGGGAGAACATGGAGACTCCACGCAGAAAGATCCCAGGTGTCCTCACTGGGACGCCAACCGGCGGCCTTCTAGGTGCAAGGCAACGGAGCTAACCACCGAGACACCTGCAGCCCCATATTTATGATTAGTGGGAGAAAACTGGCCTGAAGTAAACATCCAACATTTCTTTACTACAGTCACTACAGTAAAGAAATGCATTCAATGCACTGAGATGCAGTTCATGTTGACGCCCACCAATGTGTGACAGCCCTTTGACCCGTAAAACACACGGATCAGAGCCGGACCAGCAGTCTCACCTTTGTGTCCAGGTTCAGAGCGCTGCTACTACAAACCGTTATGTTCTCCACTGTTGTTGTTAATTGTTTAACTATCTCTATTTATCTCTGTCTAATACTTACCTTAATGCATATTTATTAACCGACTGTCATTATACGCATCATTAGACATCTTGTCTGGTCAAAAACAGTGACAGCTACACTTCCAGAAATAGAAGACTAAAATAAAAACCAGTGAGCAACCAGAGGGAGGAGCTGGTGTCTAAATATAACCATGATAAGTGGAACAAGCACCCTGAACGTCTGATAGAAGAAAACTAGGCACCATTTTCTATGATCCTCTGAGGAAAACTAACAGTGAGATGTCATGTGTGGAGGTGGGAGAGAGACAGACTCATGCATGTCCAGTGTGCAGCCTGTAGGAGAGAACACACCTGTCACATACAGGTGAGACACTAAAGCACAGCCTGTACCTGAGGAACGCTCTGCGTCAGGCAGTAATGCTTTGCCAAGAAAGACAGGAATTTGGGCGAGGGCCTGTCATAAGCCATCATCACCGGCTCGAAGTTCTTGTGCTGCAACAGAGAGAAAAAAAACCAAGATGTTAGATAATTACAACACGTACGGGGTGCTTCAGAAAGCTGTCAGCCTCTCCAGGAAACATTGCATTGTTTTCAACATAGTCTCAGGGTGTCTTTAGTCTTGAGTGCCCAGGTTTTCCTCAGCAACATGAATGACTTCATCATCGCTCTGAGAACGCCTTTTATCTGTTCGCTCAGGGTCCTGGTCAGTTTGGGATGAATCTGATGACTACTGACGTCCAGTGCAGAGCCTCTGCCGGTTCTGTTCCTGATCGGCTCCTATCTCCCATATGGCATGAAAACATCTGACGTACACGAGCAGATCCCTCACAGCCGCACACAGCTTCTTCCATCACAGCATCAATGATACACATTAGATCTAAACCAGTGCATTACTGCTGCTCTCTGAATTAAACCTCTGCAAATCCAACAGGCATCAGTCTGTGCAGTGACAGCATTCTTCATCTCTAGGTTACATCACATCTGTCTTCTCAAACAGTCGAGCCCACAGACAGCTCGTGTCTGGAGTGTTTCAGAGATCATAATAACTCCCTCCATTACACTCCTTCTGGTTTCTAGACATTTCAGAGGAATGTTTCACCTGCAGCATGAAGTCGAACAGCTCCAGCCCGTAGCCGTGTCGCTGCAGGTTCTCTGCTATGTAGAAATCCAGGACGCACAGCGGCTCTGCCTCTATATGCACACCCTGTCGGTCCTGTGGAGGGAAAGGGACAGGCAGGCTTCAACAGCTGACACAGGAGGTTCACACAGGCATCACATTAGTGAAGCACATGAGATTCTAGCTGGCCAGACAGAAACTCTCAGAGCATTGAAGGCAATCAGTGACTCACCAGCAGAAACAACTTCTTGTAGCCGACTTTCAGGAACCCCACGATCAAACCACGTCCTCTGTGTTTAGAAGGAAGAAGTAAGAGAGTTAGTCTGGATGGCAAAGGGCACAGAGGAAGCACAGTGAGGAGGACAGCTATCAGCCAGCAGCTCCATTTGGGCCATTTGAAATGAATCGCTGCCATCAGCATCAAACATCGTGTGTTGTTTGTCTCAACACTGCAGCACATCCATCCATCCATCCATCCATCCATCCATCCATCCATCCATCCAGGGTCGGGTCGCAGGGGCAGCAGGTGGAGCAGGTCATTGCAGATCTCCCTCCCCCCGGCGACCCTTTCAGCTCTTCCTGGGGGATCCCGAGGTGTTCCCAGGCCAGCTGAGAGATATAATCCCTCCAGCAGGTTCTAGGTCTGCCCCGGGGTTTCCTCCCAGGTGGACATGTTCGGAAGACCTCCAGAGGAAGCCTCCCGGAAGTATCGTCCTCCGGATGTCTGAGCTCCTCACCCCATCTCTCAGGCTGAGCCCAGCCACCCTGTGGAGGAAGCTCATTTCGGCCACTTGTATCCGTAAGGTGGCGGCTTTCCTTTGGAGGATTTTCATCTGGGTCTCTGAGCCGCTCTTTGTCTGGTCCCTCTCCCAGAACCAGCTTGCCTTGGCAGACCCTACCAGGGGCTGCAGCACATGCTTTGTGATTTCAGCATGGCTCAGTGCTTGTCCAGGTAAAGAGTATCAGCTCAGTCAGGAGAGTGTGTGTGCGTGTGTGTGTGTGTTTGTGTGTGTGTGTGTGTTTGTATAATAAGTGAGGCCTGAGGGAGCAATGTGAAACGTACCCGCTGCTCTCTCCATCCTTCAGCAGGTACAGCTGATGCTTCTGGGTCTGCAGCTTGGAAGCGCTGGTAATCGGCGCAGTGAGCTGCTGGGCCTGAGGGGAGACAGCATGGACGTCATTAGACATGGAGGAACCCCAACATGTTGTCATGTCCAGGTACAAACACATATTTAAATGGTTGGACATAATTACAGATAGAGGGCTGTTATGTGTTCCTGTCTGGAGAGCTGCAGCGTTACAGGATCACTGTGACATACTGTATATGCACCAGCAGCGCTTTTGTGATTCCTAAATATTCACCTTTCTCAGTATAATCCAGTAAATACTGCTCACATGGATGCATCCAGCCACCCACTGTCAGCTGACATAACTTTAAAAGAGTTGACTGATGCGTGTACATCTTGGCTGCTGGCACTTGATTAATTCACAAGCTAGAAAATATCTGTTTTACTCAAGGTTCTTGTTTTTTACTGATTTTTAATTTAATGCTAAACGTTCTCTGGTTGCATTTTTTTTAAGTATTTGTTGCTTTGCCATTTTTCAGAAGATTGTAATGTGAATATCTTCAAATTTTTGACCCTTTCTTGTCATGGTTTAACAAGGGGGCCGATTACTTCTCACACAGGACCTGGTAGGTTTGGATCTTTAGCTTTTACCTGAAAACATTAAACAATCATTTAAAAACTACATTTTGTGTTTACTTTGGTTATCTTTGCATAATATTTGCATTTATTTGATGGTCTTAAACATTATAGTAGGAGAAATATTAAGAAAAATAAGGATTTAAATTCAATACAAAAACACCCTGATTCCACTGAAACCCTTTGGGGGTAAACCCGACTGCACCAGCCTCAATGAGAGGCCTCCACTCGACCGGAGGGCATCTGCAGGGGTCGGCTCTAATGTCAGGGTGACTAGTTGTGTCAGATCACTGGTACTGATGGTCCTGGGTGGTGGTCTGGGTGGCTCCACATGACTTAAACGTGGCACTGAACAATAAACAAACTCAACAGATTCACCTTTGCTGAGGCTCTGCCAAGTTCATCGATGACTGTGGCTATGTGGGCCTGGAGATCAGGCCTGCAACGACAAACACAGCAGGACATGGTGAAATCAGCAGTGGCTCAAAGTGACAGTAACAGTAAAGACGCTGCTTTTGGTTTGTTTGCAGCGGTTTTCTTGAGACGCTGCTCCTCGTTCTCTACGCGGGACTCCAGATGGACGTGGATCTGTCCACCTGTGTTCACCTGTCATCCTCAGATGTGTTCCTTCCCTCCCATTAAAGAAGGAAACAAACAGCTGAAATAAGATGAAATTGACAAAAGTAATAATAAATAAAAATGTAATGAAAATCATAACGTTGCTTTTGAATTGTGGTTTAACAGAAACACTAAAAAAAATTTTAAAAACAGCCCGACGGGACCCGTTAACCACTATCTATCTGAACAACCCTTTGAGCCAATCACTGCCATCAGGTGTTTCCTGTAACTCTCAGACTTCTGCACCTGTTGACAGGTATTCTGGACCACTGCTCATCAGCAAAGGCCTCTCATTGGTCCAGGACTGTTTGTTTGTTTGTTTGTTTGTTTGTTTAAATGATTCTTTTCAACCACAATTCAAAAGCAACATCTTATTTCACTAAATTATAATTGAACAAATTTTTATTTATTATTACTTTTTCCAGTTTCTACTTATTTCAGTGACTGTAGTGAATTTTTCCTTTTCTTTAATGGAAGGAGATGAATACATCTGAGGACGGCTGCAGGTGATGCTGGTCCCAGATCTGCTCAGAGCATCCGGTCAGTGAGAGGCACACCCCGGAGCCAGCTGCCTCGGTGTTTCCTGGGCCGATGGCATTAATGGATCCCTTGACGGAGAGCAAAGTTCTCCACAGTGATCCTGAGGAGATGCTTCACCTCCACCGACAACAAAGAGAACAGAAGAGCCTGATCTTCTGACTGACCTTCCTGCTGATCTGCGGCCTGCGACGAGGCTCTGGTCCAAGATGGAGACTCTCTCAGGGAATATTTGGTTAATATCAAAAGGAAACTCCATGGTTCTGATGGGCTGGGCAGCTGTGATGTGCAGCACAGGATGGAGAGCCGGACCCGGCAGGGCTCAGCTAGCAGGCGAGCTAACGGCGCGCTGGCAGCTCACTGTCGGACACGGCGGCGCAGAAAACACCCAATAGCAGACTGGAAGAGGACAGAAACACGTCGACATGGCACGAACAGAACCGACATGACACTAAATAACGCTGTGAGTGAGTGCAGGAGAAGGCACTTGCTGTCTATGTTGTCATTGCAGCTCCATTGTGTGTCTGAGTCCCTCCCCGGCAACATGGACCGTAATGTATGTAAAAGACACGCGCGCCAATCTGGCCAACCCCACAGAGCTGGTGGCGCGTTCACGAACATCTCTGAAAAGTAACTCAGAGCAAGACAATAACGGTCAAGACACCTACGATGACAATGACATCACTAGCCAGCATTTAGTACCGTATATGATGTCACCGTAAATGTTAAGGCGCAGCTTGTTTTAGTTTTACGGTAATAGCGCAGAAGGATTTTGGTACCGTGACGGCGCCGTCAGCAGAGGCTGTGGTACCGGCATGACTGGCACAGCAATGTGCTGAGCCTGCAGCCGAAGCCTTGAGCCTGGAGCCTGGAGCGGGATCCTGGAGCCTGCAGCCGAAGCCTGGAGCCTGCAACAGAAGCCTGGAGCATGGAGCATGGAGCATGGAGCCTGGAGCGGGAGCCCGGAGGCTGGAGCCTGGAGCCGAGCTGCGCAGGCCGCTTGACTTCTGTCTGACTTGATCCCTTGAAAGAGAAGGTCTCGTCATCTCCTTTACGCGTGCACTTTGTTCCCTGAACGTGACGGCTGCATGTGTGAATGCGCACTCGTAAGGCGTAGAAGTTGCGCCAGCGAGTAATAATTTCTACATAACTCTGAACACAACCCAACTGTCGCATTAACGGAGACGCACACAATCACTTGGAGTTGTGTGAAGTGATATAAGGAAGAAATAAATAAACAATAAAACATCTCAGAGACGCTGAACACACAGTTCAAGTGCCAGAATCACAACACTCCTTTTTCACTCACTTTGCTCCACAATTCTTAATTCAAACTCTATTACACAAAGAAATCCATCCATCCATCATCTCTACACCTTAATCCTCACTAGGGTAATGGGGGGCTGGAGTCTATCCCAGTTGACTCAGGGTGAAGGCAGGTTCACCTGGACAGGTAACCAGTCTATCACAGGGCTGCACTTAGAGACAGACAACCAAGCACTAGACAAAGGAATGAAATGTCCAAAATAATAAAATCCTACTGCGATGGAAACAGACTCTAACAATTAAAAGATGAATGGCTCTCCACTAGAATGAATGTAATCTGAATTTTACTGATTCACTTCACACTTACTGAGACTGTTTTTTTTTTTTTGTTTGCCCACATACATGCTCCATAGTGTTGAATGAGGCAGCACCTTATACTTGCTGGATGTGTTCACACATGAGACGAAAACACGACCAAGAACATGAACAATTTTGTAGAAATTCACATCCCACCAGTAACTTGTCACACTTTGTTAAACATCAGCAGTAAAGGCTGTTGATGATCACAACTAAAGACGTCCCAAAGCTCAAGTGTAGGAAACAAGACCCCACTTGTTCTGCCTGTCCACGCCTATAGATGTGTCGAACATGTTCTCTGTTTTTCTTCTGCTTTTTTAACTCTTGCACTCTTTCAGCACCAGATCCACAGACTGACTGGAGGCTGAAGACTCCCTGCAGTGAGACGCCACCCTGCAGTAGGCTTTTCTCTGCTCCTAATTCTTAATGAAGCACAGTATGATACAAGCATTACTGTAGTAGTTTTAATTACTGTAAATTAATAATGGAAGATGACTACATACTGTAAAATAAAGACACTGCTGTTGCCACAAAAATGTCTTTTATTACATCACTTCATAACTAAAGGTCTGGGTTGGACTGTGAACACCACCCACATTGTCAAACTCCCTCCACCTCTGCTGAAAGACTGTTGCTGCTACACGATAGAGAGTGTCCAGTCCTATGGATGTACAGCGTGGTATCGGAGAGGAAACAACTTCAGCGGGTCATCAAGACGGCTCCGTGGATCATTGGCTCCCCACTCCCACACCTAGAGGAGATCTACCTGAGTCGTCTCCTCTGATGGGCCACAAAGATCCGGACAGATCCTCGGCAGACCTCCGGAGGTGCCTGTGGTATCAGGCTTTAGCTCTAGAAACAGGTTTTAGAGTCCTGGAAGCTGTGCGGTGGGTGGAAGGTGATGCTTGACTGAGATTTGGGAAACTTGATGGCCCAGTCTACACGCTGAACTCTAAGCAGTTCCACAAACAAGCCGTGAAGCACTGTGGTTCTGACACCTCTGTATCATAGCCAGTATTAAGGCTCTCAGCAGTCGTGTAGTGTGTTGCTGTGGGATCAGACCACATGGGAGGGCCTCACATGCTTTAGTGGGCACCAGTTGTCCATCACTGGACCACTTTAGGTTGGCACTGAACATCCCAGCTGCTGTTTGGGAGACACTCTGACCGACCGTCTCACCATCACAGTGAGGTGTCTGTCGGAGTTGTTCAGATTCTTATGCTGCCTGTTGTTCCTACTTCTAACACATCACCTTCAAGGACTGACTAATCTCTGGCTGCCTGATACACCTCATCCACTGACAGACACGACTGGAATGAGACAGTGTTATTCAGCACACCTAGTTTTGATCAGTCAGATGAATGTAAAGGGTCTTGTGTTTAGAGATCTGGACAGATTTGGATGATTTAATCACATTGAATGCACCGTTACTGTAAAAAATAAGACAAACTCACACTACCTAAAGGTGTGTTTTATTTGTGGGACACACTTTTATAGCGTTTAACTGTCTGTAAAGTGATGCTGTGGCATGAAACTACAAAAGTGTAAGAAATGATCAATATAATGAAGCATCAGAAACACAGAAATAACTAAGAGTGGTTAATAAAGAGAACATTTTAAGCAGCGTAGTGACATCAGAGAGCTGTTGTGTTGCACTGCGTACAGATCTGTAGCTGTGGTGTCACATATAAAACCACAAGGTGGCGCTGTGAGCACATATATTCTAAAGCCTGACAGAGGAAGAGTTACACACTGCTGGCCAATGGTAGGTGCTTGTTGCACAGAATGGGGACAGCTCGGGAAGAAACTGAGTTAATACTGATTAGTCTGTACAGGATGACACTTGTCTTGATGGTTGACAGGAACCATAAACTAATCCTTAGGCAACACATTGTAGGATATGGACAGACACAGATGCCCAAAAGGATTAAAAAAAAAACTTTCTTTGAACGTTCCAGCACCCAAGTCACATGCCATAAAAGACAGAACTATCCTGCAGGTCACAGGGCCATGTAAATCAGCTCTGCAGACTCGGAGGAGTGAGGAAGCAGAGCTCCCTTAGGAATTCCCTAATCACACCTATCAGAGATTCAAAAGATCTAACGCAAAGAAGCTTTCGGGGGAAGACAAAGAAAAACATTCAGACCACTCAGATCTTAACAAATGGTCCAGATGGCCGGGTGCAATGAAGTACCCCGGGCTTAACGTATTGCTCAGCTGACCCCTCATTTCCTGTGGCATGCAACAACTGGACTTAACAACTGAACTTATGGATGAACAGTGAAGACAGCACCACAGGGTGTGCCTTATTGTCTTATGTTAAGTTTAGTTGTTAAATGTTATGGTATATCATGTCCTGATAAATACTCCAAAGCTTAATTACAGTTGGATAAGTCCTTCTTTAATTTATCAGCTTGTTATATAATCATATATCCCAAAACTGCATTATCTTTGTAACCGTACGAGCTAGATGTATCACGTTTGGATTCTTTGTGAACCGCTATATATAATAGATTCATTTTCAGTAGGTTTAACTTTGTATAATTGAAAGCACATATAGTTCTGAAGGAACATTGTTACTTTCAGAGCAAAACTCTGATCACCTCATAACCACGTCATGACCTCCCTGTGATACTGGGGTGTCATATCTAACAGCCCCTCTGGGAGCAGAGCTCGCTGTGATTGGTCAGTAGTTTTACTATTAAAAAGCCTCTTCACCCGAAAAGCAGTGGCATTCTCTAACTGCCGTAGAGCTGCCCACTTTGGTCCAATGTAGCAACTTCAACTGCCACACCCTGATCCAACTCAAGCTGAAGGCCTCGTCTCCAAGACGCTGCTGCACCCGGGAAACTGCAAGTATCAAGCTTCTGTCTCTAAACGGGTGTTTCATGATTACAATTGGCCTTCTGACCAATATTCCAAATTTAACAGATTATCTGCTGCTTCGGGTGAAAAGACTTTTAAGTCTCCAAGCCACCACTCTGTTCCACATTCGGTTTTTCACACTCATATTCTCAACCAGCATTTTCATCATTGTTTGTATTTTATATTTTATGTTTGTTGTTGTTATTTGTTTGTTTGTTTTAGTTAGTAATAAATGTTGTGTGTGTGTATACAGTGGTTTCCTGTGTTTTCTATTGCTTACATCCAGTCACTTTACGTATCTGATTTTTAGTTACCTAAGCTCTAAGTTAATTCCCTTAACTTTATAAAACACTCTTGACTGATCACCAAGAGTAAACAATTTATTAGAATTATTATGCTGACTCTGAGATTATATCGCTGGACAAATAATTCAAAGGTTGGTTTTATTAATTTTAATTAATGCAATCACTTGCTTTGGTGTGGAAATAAGTACATCTTATTTTCCACACTACAATACATCTTACAACATGTTCAACATTTGGGAACCACGTGTTATTCTGCTGTCCACCACTATCATCAAAACATCAAATGAAGAAGCTATAATATAGGCCCTGATGTGGTGTGGAGGCTCAGTGTACGACAATGAATGTTTCATCTGGTGCTCAGCTCTGGTTGTAACAGGAGATGTTTTTCTCAAAAGCTTGGAGAAGGCATGATAAGACTGCAACAGAACCTGTGTCTGGCAGCTCTATCTGCCTGCTGTACAGGATCATCTATATTAGACACCAAGACTAACTGCAAGATATAAAACAGAGCAAACAGCCTGGAAGATGGAATGAAACAAAAGTTGATTTAGAAGCACTGATGAACGAATGAACACTGAGACAACTTTATGGCTTTAATAGAGCCACTGTCCTCAAATCAGACAAGGATTTAAAGATCCTAACCCACAACTCAGAGCCACTCGGACTGCTTCCTGCAGCTGCACCTCGGCTAGCACTGTGATGCATGCTCTTCACCCAGCCTGG